ACGCATGGAGGTGGGCGAACGTTGCCAATTCTTGAAAGATCCATTCCGGGGATCGTACAGAGTGGCCCCTATTTACATCTCGTCTTTTCATTTTGAGAGTCAGTTCTCGTGGCAGAGAAAGGCAATGAGAAAACCGGTCACGAATCACCTTACAAGGTGCCAATGGAAGCCATAACGTAAAACGTTCAAAACGAACAAGGATGGAGGAAGGAGACAAGGAGACAACGGCCTGTTAGCAGAAACACACAGGAGAGACGAACGACATGGTACTGCGACTCACTGCGAGATGACAAGCCTGTTTCGCTCGACCAACTGAATTGCTCATTTCTAATTCACTCGAAGCCATTTCCTCCATGGCCGCATTCCATTCACTCTTTCACCGCGTCTAAGCATTGCCTGTGTTTTATTCTTCAGACTACATAACAGACTATGCTAATCGCTATGTAAGTAGACCCGCCGCTAGTCAGTGACCCTCTCCTTTCTCCTTCTCACTCCTCATCCGAAGCAAGAAAAGAGAGAGACACCGTCCAGGGCACACCACGAGGAGGTCGCGGGTTCAATTTGGTGCCCCAAACAAAAACAGCTCCCCCCAAAGCTTCTCCAAACGGAGTCGACTTGAAGGGATTAGAAAAACAAACCCAGGCTCAGAACTGTACTCACGCTATATTCGGCCGAAAGTAGCAATCATCCTTGCCCAAATTTGAGGAAGGCGCGTCACAATGTGGCAGCGTCTTCCTATTTATCTCTCGTTGTCCCGTTTGTCCTGTTTGTCGTGTTGTTGAGATGCATCACAATGTGGTAGTCAGTTTCTCGTGTTGTGTGTTGTTGTGTTGTTGTTTTGTTGTGTCGTTATCGTATTGTCATGTTGTCATGTTGTCGTGTTGTTGTGTTGTCGTTTTGTTGTGTTGTCGTGTTGTCGTCTTGTTGTGTTGTGGTGTTGTTGTGTTGTGGTGTTGTCGTATTCTCGTGTTGTCGTATTGCTGTGTTGTTGTTTTGTTGTACTGTCGTGTTGTTGTTTTCTTGTTTTGTTGTATTGTTGTGTTGTCGTATTGTTGTGTTGTCGTGTTGTCGTGTTGTTATGTTGTGGCGGTGTTGTGCTGTGGTGTTGTCGTGTTGTTGTGTTGTGGTGTTGTCGTGTTGTCGTATTTTCGTATTGTCGTATTGTGGTGTTGCTGTGTTGTTGTTTTGTTGTGTTGTCGTGTTGTTGTGTTGTTGTGTTGTTGTGTTGTGGCGTTGTTGCGCTGTGGTGTTGTCGTGTTGTCGTGTTCTCGTATTGTCGTGTTGTCGTATTGTTGTGTTGTCGTTTTGTTGTCTTGTGGTGTTGTGGTGTTGTGGTGTTGTGGTGTTGTGGTGTTGTGGTGTTGTCGTATTCTCGTGTTGTCGTATTGTCGTATTGCTGTGTTGTTGTTTTGTTGTACTGTCGTGTTGTTGTATTGTTGTATTGTTGTATTGTTGTGTTGTTGTGTTGTCGTGTTGTGGTGTTGTCGTGTTGTCATATTGTTGTGTTGTCGTGTTGTTGTGTTGTCGTATTGTTGTGTTCTCGTGTTGTCGTATTGTTGTGTTGTCGTGTTGTTGTGTTGTCATGTTGTCATGTTGTTGTGTTGTCGTGTTGTCGTGTTGTTGTGTTGTTGTGTTGTTGTGTTGTCGTGTTGTCGTGTTGTCGTGTTGTCGTATTGTTGTGTTCTCGTGTTGTCTTGTTGTCGTATTGTTGTGTTGTCGTGTTGTCGTGTTGTTGTGTTGTCGTGTTGTTGTGTTGTCGTGTTGTTGTGTTGTCGTGTTGTCGTGTTGTCGTGTTGTCGTATTGTTGTGTTCTCGTGTTGTCTTGTTGTCGTATTGTTGTGTTCTCGTGTTGTCGTATTGTTGTGTTGTCGTGTTGTTGTGTTGTCGTGTTGTTGTGTTGTCGTGTTGTCGTGTTGTTGTTTTGTTGAGTTGTCGCATTGTCGTGTTGTCGAGGCACATCACAAAGTGGTAGCCTGTCGTCCTGTTCTAGCGTTCTCGAAGCACATCACAATGTGGTAGCCTGTCATCCTGTTCTCGCGTTGTCGAGGCACATCACAATGTGGTAGCCTGTCATCCTGTTCCCGTGCTGTCGAGGCACATCACAAAGTGGTAGCCTGTCCTCCTGTTCTCATGTTGTCGAGGCACATCACAATGTGGTAGCCTGTCCTCCTGTTCCCGTGTTGTCAAGGCACATCACAATGTGGTAGCCTGTCATCCTGTTCCCGTGCTGTCGAGGCACATCACAAAGTGGTAGCCTGTCCTCCTGTTCTCATGTTGTCGAGGCACATCACAATGTGGTAGCCTGTCCTCCTGTTCCCGTGTTGTCAAGGCACATCACAATGTGGTAGCCTGTCGTCCTGTTCCCGTGCTGTCGAGGCACATCACAATGTGGTAGCCTGTCATCCTGTTCCCGTGCTGTCGAGGCACATCACACAGTGGTAGCCTGTTGTCGCGTTCTCGTGTTGTCGAGGCACATCACAATGTGGTAGCCTGTCGTCCTGTTCTCGCGTTCTCGAGGCACATCACAATGTGGTAGCCTGTCGTCCTGTTCCCGTGTTGTCGAGGCACATCACAATGTGGTAGCCTGTCCTCCTGTTCCCGTGTTGTCAAGGCACATCACAATGTGGTAGCCTGTCATCCTGTTCCCGTGCTGTCGAGGCACATCACACAGTGGTAGCCTGTTGTCGCGTTCTCGTGTTGTCGAGGCACATCACAATGTGGTAGCCTGTTGTCGCGTTCTCGTGTTGTCGAGGCACATCACAATGTGGTAGCCTGTCGTCCTGTTCCCGTGTTGTCGAGGCACATCACAATGTGGTAGCCTGTCCTCCTGTTCCCGTGTTGTCAAGGCACATCACAATGTGGTAGCCTGTCATCCTGTTCCCGTGCTGTCGAGGCACATCACAAAGTGGTAGCCTGTCCTCCTGTTCTCATGTTGTCGAGGCACATCACAATGTGGTAGCCTGTCCTCCTGTTCCCGTGTTGTCAAGGCACATCACAATGTGGTAGCCTGTCATCCTGTTCCCGTGCTGTCGAGGCACATCACAAAGTGGTAGCCTGTCCTCCTGTTCTCATGTTGTCGAGGCACATCACAATGTGGTAGCCTGTCCTCCTGTTCCCGTGTTGTCAAGGCACATCACAATGTGGTAGCCTGTCGTCCTGTTCTCACGTTGTCGAGGCACATCACCATGTGGTAGCCTGTCGTCCTGTTCTCGCGTTGTCGAGGCACATCACAATGTGGTAGCCTGTCGTCCTGTTCCCGTGTTGTCGAGGCACATCACAATGTGGTAGCCTGTTGTCGCATTGTCGTGTTGTCATCCTGAAATGTCCATCCATCCATCCTGAAATGTCCATCCTGAATAGTCGATTCCTGTTGGGAAGGGCGAGGGTGAAGAAAAAGAAGAGAGAAGAGGGGGAGTCTGCCCTTTTATATTAAAAAAAAATCAATTTTGACTTTTGCCACCGGATTTTTTTTCCCTCACTCGCATGACAGACCTTCTCTCTCCCTTTCCCTCATCCTTTCCGCTCCTGGTGATGCCATTGGCAGAAGAAGGAAAACAGGACAAACAGGATAACCCTCCGTGACGCGCACTGACAGCACGTATGCTGTTGTTATGGGGAAACAAGAAAAAAGTTGCCGTTTGGAGGTTTGGTAACGCTTGGGGAAGCTGTTTTTGTTTAAGGCACCAACCGCTCTGGACGGTACCTCTCTTTCTTTTCTTGCTTTGGGTGAGGAATGAGAAGGAGAAAGGAGAGGTGACACTGACTAGCGGCGGGTCTACTTACATAGCGATTAGCATAGTCTGCTATGTAGTCTGAAGAATAAAACACAGGCAATGCTTAGACGCGGTGAAAGAGTGAATGGAATGCGGCCATGGAGGAAATGGCTTCGAGTGAATTAGAAATGAGCAATTCAGTTGGTCGAGCGAAACAGGCTTGTCATCTCGCAGTGAGTCGCAGTACCATGTCGTTCGTCTCTCCTGTGTGTTTCTGCTAACAGGCCGTTGTCTCCTTGTCTCCTTCCTCCATCCTTGTTCGTTTTGAACGTTTTACGTTATGGCTTCCATTGGCACCTTGTAAGGTGATTCGTGACCGGTTTTCTCATTGCCTTTCTCCGCCCTCAATGCACTTTTGCTGCCACGAAAACTAAGGCGGCCAGACTTTCAAAATGAAAAGACGAGATGTAAATAGGGACCGCTCTGTACGATCCCCAGAATGCATCTTTCAAGAATTGGCACCGTTCGCCCACCTCCATGCGTTTATTGACGTATCTTTCAAGGAATTCAAGAAGAAATGGTAAAAGAAGGTATGCGGTATACTAATACTTGAGAGGCGCGAGACCCACGCGAGGTTTCAAAGGCGAGTGGTCAAAAACACAATAATTGTTCTTGATAAACACATCCCCCAGAAGGCGTGCGTAATATCTACTATCTGGACAGGTTTGGTGACCCTTTTTAGGAAGTGCCAGAGACGAGACACCAAGGGTCTGACTCGACAGGCAGTGTCTTCGTTCTGGAAGTCGTGGATAAAGGTTACGAACTCAAAGAGCTTCAGTCATCAGTGATGAAGACGAGGCAAGGACGATGTCGAGTTAGTGTTGTTATTGAGAAGGTGAGTGATGTTGCACGAGCGAGTGAGAATGGTCAAGTGTGTCGGTTGTTGTAGCTGGAGGCTGTGGTGTTGACGAAGAAAGAAAGAAAGAGAGAAATAAAGAAAGAAAGAGAGAAAGAAAGAAAGAAAGAAAGAAAGAAAGAAAGAAAGAAAGAAAGAAAGAAAGAAAGAAAGAAAGAAAGAAAGAAAGAAAGAAAGAAAGAAAGAAAGAAAGAAAGAAAGAAAGAAAGAAAGAAAGAAAGAAAGAAAGAATGTAAAGAGGGTAGGTAAGAGAGGAAAAGATAGAAGAAAATGCTGTGCGTGAGAGGTTAGAGGAAAATGTTTATACCCCTCCATGATAATTGATAAAAACGCGTTTGTCGCAAAAAAAGTCTTCATCAGCGAGTAACGGATCAAAAGCATTTGCCTTCAAACGCATCCTATTAGTTAGTCGCGTACAATTGTATCGGCGCCAGGTCTATCCTCTTCTTCTTTGTCTCGACTCGGTGGTATTCTGGAGGAGTAAGTTCTTTTGACTATTGTGCACAAAATACAGTCGTTGTGTTCCCTCACCACCCAGTCGGTGACAGAGTCGCAAGGGTCTTGAAGGATACTACGAGTGTCGCCAGAGACCATGAACCGGAACGGCACGGTAGTGTCCTTGCAGGCGGTGGCGATCTGATATCCCTCTGGTGAGTAGGCAATGCCAGTAACAGCAAAATCGTGGCGGACCAAGGTAATGCGAGCTTCGCGAGTAGGAATATCGCCAATATCCACAATGTTGTCCTCCTGACGACTTTTGTCGAGTTCGCGAGGAGCTGGTGAGACGGCAATGGCTGATCCACCAGGGTAGTCGGCGATTTTGGTCCAAGTCGCAGTGTTGTATACACGTACCCCTCGATTTTTTCGCTGATACAGCAAGAAGCTCTCCATCCGAAGATATGACGCACCCCAGACAACAGGCGATAAAAATCGAGGTTCGGCAGCTCTCCAAACTGTACTCTAGACATCTGTGCCCTGCTGAAGTTAGCCTATCGGAGCCATGCGTTGTCGAGGTTGGTGTTACTCAGATCGACAACCTCACAGATTTGTTGAATCAAACTCTCCTCCGCGGGATTGACTCCATGAATTCTGATGGCACGCAAATCCTGTCTGTGGAATCGAATACTTGAATTTACCATGACTGTGATTATATTAGCCGCTGCTACCTTGACTCTTTCATCTCTCTTTGAGCTCGTGATTGCATCGTACGCGCATTGAATTCATCGTCTACCTCCATGCGCTCAGCCATGAATTGTACAACCGAAGGCTCTTTTTGTGGTCTGTGCTCTGTCGTATTGTATTTTACTGTGCGTTTAATGAGGCGTCAAGAGACAGTGTATATATTATCAGCGGAAGAATAGAGCTTTAGTATCTCCACAATACGAAAATTGTTTGTTTGTCCATGCTTACTGTCTTGTCTACAACCATACCACTCAATGTGTTAGTAACTCTTTTGCTTTCTCTTGGAGGTGACCGATGAGAAGGACTGGGTCGTCAGGGCGTGGTAGGGTTTGCTTTCAACAACTCATGGCTATGCTCGCAACACACGATGCTTGTACCTCTGTCTTTGTCTTCATAGAACAAGGGCGAAAGAGAAGATAAAGGTCAAGAGCGACAGTGGGAACCATGATATTTTTGAACGTCCCCAAGGACTCAATGGCGAAGGCCGGATTGGTACCTGAAAAAGTAATCAGATAAACATTGTCAAAAAACCGAGACGCGTCGAACATGAACAGGTGGCTTAAGTGCGAGACACCGGTTTGAGGCAATAAATTAACGGAGTGGAAAGTAGAAAAAAGAGGAACGAACAAAGCTCTGATCTGACTCCGTTGAGGACTGGATAGAGGCCAGCCATTGCTGATGCCGTTGGCCTTGCCATTGCTGTCGATATAGGTGAAGAAAAAATTAAATTGAGAAAACATACATGATGGATAAAACGAAGCGACTATGACTTCTTTTTCTCAAACAAGAAGGCAGCCATTTGTCAACGGATCAGAAAAGACGTTGATAGTCACCGCGTCCAAACGGATGACCAGATCCTTTTTTTTTGTACACACAGTGTTCAGAAGGCATGACCCCATAGAAAGTCTGTTGTAACACAAAGGAGAGTAATTGAGATAGTCAAACATCCACCTTCTTGTTCTTCGTTTTTGGAGTAGCTGACTCTTGCCTAACTTGTGACTTCGCCACCAAAAGGCCGATTCTCTCCCCTTTCTTTGACTTCCTACACTCGACAATCAATCGGTTACGATCAGTCTCTTCTCATTCTTCTATCGAGATCAAGGCTTCGCCTTCCCTCCTTCCTTCTCCCCCCCATTAATCTATCGTCATCTTAATTATTTCCACATCATTCCCTCTCCCTCTGCACCTCTCATTCCTGGTTCCCCCAAAGACCCCTGAAATGCGAGAGAAAAAGAAGAACGCGTTGTGGCGACAGGTAGGCTCCAAATAAAATAGAAAATGATGCAGGTTGCTATTCAGGTTACTATTTTCGCTTGGCGTTTATGTCCCTCCTTTTTCTCTCCTGTTCCCTTCCAATTTGCCGCACTGTTGCGATAAAGCAACTACAAGCGGAAAAAAAAGAAAGAAAAAAGACGCAAACTTTCTTGTTTGTCCATGCTCCAATCCTTCTTTCTATTCCCCGCGTACAACAACGCGGTTACTTACAAAGGACATGAATGTAGTCAGTCTGACTAAGTTACCCGTGTGGTGATATCTACTTACTTGTCCGTGTATATGAACTCCAGTGAGCGAAGGCGGCCACGAACCATGAGCCCCCCCCCCCCCCCCGATTGAGATGATGAATCATTAAATCACGCACCTCTTTTTTCTCTCTCTCACTCTCCCTCCCACCTACCCTGAACGCCCCCCTTCACAAGGTTTGCTCAGGAATAACCCACCATCCAGAAGCCCTAACTCTCGAATACACACCCTCCCCCCAAAATTCACCTTGCCCCCCCCCTCTCTCCTCCTGTGCAAATTCTTCTACTGCATCCACGAACCCCACAACCCTAAACTCCCAAGGTCCTCCAACCGTGGTACCCAATACCCTTCTACAATCTTTGCACACTCCCCCGAAGCAGGCCGAGATCGCCCAACGGGTGTGACAAAGGAGCTTTAGGAAGCGAGATATGAGCGGAAGAAGGTTCTTACCAAGATTGTTTGGAAGGAATGGAGTGTGGATGGTAGCGGGATGGGGATTGGGGCAGGGGGGGGGGGGGGGTGCATAAGTGGTATGATGCCGAGGAATATCATCAGGATAAGAATCCACATGGGTATGAATGTCCCTCTCATTTCTTGAGGTTGTAGGAAGTCGAAGTACAAATAAACCAAAGAACTAGCTCTCATCATCCGCATGAACGCCTCCAGCCTCCCGAACAAATACCGGTATTAAAGAAATAATGACATATGAGAGAAAAGAGCTGTGGAAGTCTTGGTTTTTTATTTCATGGTCATAAAGAACAAGAAATGTCCTGAATGCGAAAAGAATACGAAGGAAGTGAAGAAAAAGGAGAGGGGTCAAAGAACAAGGATGGCTGAGAGAGAGAGAGAGCGAGAGAGTAAAAAACTCCTTTTGATGTTGTCGGGGAGGTCGAGGGGAAATAAGGGAGTATGGACGCGCTTAACATTCGGCTGTTGACGCCTTGGTGTTCAAGATAAGGGCAACAATGAGTCCGTACAGGGCCAAGACCTCAGCGAAAATCAACACGAGAATCATTCCTGTGAACAGACGGGGTTGTTGGGCAGAGGCACGGACTCCAGCATCTCCGACAATACCGACAGCGAAACCAGCAGCCATACCAGCCAATCCAACACTCAAACCGGCGCCCAACTGAATAAATCCAGCATACAACGACATCTGCTGTTTGACTATTTTTGTCATTGGGGGAATAAGAAAAGGATGATGATAAGTGGCAGGAACAGGACACTTCAATGCTCTTCTTCACATTACATTCAGTCAGTCATGAGAGGGACAAGATAAGAAGAACTTACAGCCGTTGCCGATGAGGACAGAGACGACGAGACCGTAAATACCGATAATACCGGCCATAATAATGGGGACAATTCCCTTGATGATCAGGTCAGGGCGAAGAACTCCCATCGAGGTGAGACCGACACCCGACTTGGCGGTACCATAGGCAGCTCCAAAGCCTACAATAGTAAATAGGGATTGAGGAAGGAAGGGTTAGCGTCAGGTCGAGTCTACGAAAAATTTCATCCAAGGGACGCTTAGGAAGCCAGAAATGGATATAGAGGGCAACGAGGTGTCCATGTGGTTCTGTGTGTGCCCTTGTCATGGGTGTGAAAAGAGGACCGCCCGTACCATTTCTTTTTTATTTTTCTCTCTCATCCCCTCACCAAGAGCGAGCAGGTATGTGTCTCCTGGCAGTTCCTGGTCTGTCGAGAGGACAAAGGAAAGGATCGCTTTTTGGCGCCACTATAATCCTTTTAGCGCACGTCCTCGATCCGTGTTTGCCACAATCCGCCCCACTTCCATCTTCTCTCTACAAACAATTTCGATGAGCACCCAAGGGTAGTTGCTTAAGTTCTACGTCCTGGGTGTGTTGGGTAAAATGAGGTCGTGTTGGGCGGTGACAGTGCCGATATCCAGGATTCTTGCCGAGTTGAAAAAGTGCAGAGGCAACGTGAGGCAAAGTGTAGCTGCTATTGGGACAGGTCCAGAGAAAAGTATCGAACAAAGGAGGGCGAACGGAGGGTGATGTAGATATGCTTGGGTAATTAAAGGGAAGACTTACAGCAGAAGACAATGGCGCTGGTGGCACCCATGACTCCAAAGAAGGGAGCGTACGCGGGGCTATCAAGGAAATCGACCAAAGAAAGAGCAGGGTTATTTGGTTAGCCATTGTATTCACTATGATTGTCGTGTTTTGATTTGAGTAACTGTAGTTATTGCCGGTGTTGCAGGAGTTGCGGTTGTGGCAGTTGTTGCGCTTGTTATTGGCAAGAGCAGTACCCTTCCTCGTTCCTCTTCCCAGGAAGGCAAGAGATAAAAAATGAGCGCGCTCGCAAGAATGTTGCCAGACGATCAGCTCTGGTGTCTCTGCTGGCTCCTGTCCCTGCCATTTGCTGCTCACACTGCCAAGGAATCCAAACTCGTAAAGAGGTCATTTGTCGCCTTCAGTGTGCGCGTATCTGCGTTGCTGCTGGTCAACTCTTCCTTGCTCGTCCTTTCAACTGCTCCTGCTGTGTTCGCGCAAGCCAGGTTTCCTGCCTCTGTTGGGTGGAGTGTGCACTTGCTCTCCTTCATCCTATTCATAGTATGTAATCTCTTACCAGAACTCAGTGGCGACAAGAGTAGACATGATGTGTAGTTATGTTTTGACGAAAGGAGAGAGTGCGTGAGAGTGGAGCGGGTGACAATGAGAGTCTGGTGCGAGAGAAGGGTGGGGTAGGTGTGTGAGTGAAAAAAAAGAGAATGGACAATGCATGGAAATCACGTTGGCCAAAGGATGGACCACCAGGCCCACCACCGCCCGAGTGACGTCACATAAAAAATTGTGACGTGTGAAGTATAGGCGAAAATGATTTGCGACGCGAGGGGATCGAAGGAGGGGATCAAGAAAAGGGTTTTGCAGGAGAGACTATGATTATTTATTCATAGTTTGCAAGAAAAAAAAGGAGAGACCTTAGAACTCATAGTCACCACTCATACTGAGCAGTTCCATCTCGCGTTCCAGGGTCCGTGGCCGCTGCTCTGGTGGCCGGCTGTTGAGACCATGGCCGTGGCCGTGGCTGTGACCATGACTATGACCATGAGCATGACCATGACAGTGACCATACTGCTGCATCTGCATCTGTTGCTGCTGGAGCTGCAGTTGACGCTGGTACTCTTGCTGTAACCGCAACTCATGCTGCTGCTGATCATGCTGAAGTTGCAATAGCTGCTGAGCCTGCTCCTCCGATGCTTGGCCCACTCCATCCAAATACACCTCCGATCGCACATGGGTCGCGTGTTGGCTGTAGATACCACCATGTGGGTACTTGAGCCCACTCGAGGGGGTCGATGCTCCAGACGATGCACCCGATGTCGACCCTGCAGGCGTAGTCGTGCTGACCGAACCTGCTCCATTGATCAACGTAGCGGTTGTGGCGTTGCTGGTGGGTGACGAAGCAGTCGTGTTTGTTGTGGTTGGTGTGGTAGCGGTAAAGTTCGAAAGGCCGTGACCACTCAACTCATGCCCATACATCCCGTTGACAGCTCCCGCCTGGATCGACGACATCATCGACAAGTGCTGCCGCTCATGATCATCAGTGCCTGCACCAATAGTCAAGTATCCGTTGATCTTCAACCACTGCTCAACATCCTTGCAATCACGTTCCAACCAGAGAATGTTCATACGGATTCCCTCCAGACATGTCGCAAGGATCCTGTCGTAAGCGCTCGTGTCCTTGTTAGCGAAGAACGCCTGCACCTCGCGGTACCTCTCCAGCGTCGAAAACGACTCGATACTGAGCAGCACAAAGTAGTCCAGGAAGCCGATATCATCGCAATGGCGCTCGTAGAGAACATCCCAGTGGTGGCGCATAAAGTTCCACAGCTCAGCACGACCTACTACCGATGAGCGCAATGTCGCGATCGCACTAAGGATATCCTGAGTACGGACTTCACGCGACATGGCAAACGCCAGTGTCCTCCGCACCAGCTCTAGCGAGCTTCCATATCCAAGGACCGACAGAGCCACCACCTTCTCGCCAGGGATGTATGTCTCGCGGTAGTAGTTGACAATGTCTTCATACTCTTCTACTCCCTGAGTCGTCCTGAGAACAATCTCAAAGACTGGGAATCGCAAATCTGGTGGCAACGCAGTCACATCCCGGTGCTTCATAAACGCTGTAAACCGTCTCCTTGCCTCTGCAACAATCCTATTCAGAAGTCCAAGAAGTAACAATGGAGATTAGTCAATGATCTTTTCGTGGCATCAAGCACAAGTACGCGCGACAAGTGAGAATGAAGACTTACTCTGGGTCGCCAGCTCGTCCTGCAAAACGAATGGCAACGGCGCGCAGGTTCACAGTGGCAGGATCCTCACCCTCAGGGAACTCCCATCCAAGCCTCTTGACAATTTTTGTGAAGAGGCGCCTCTGAACTTCCTTCAAGCCATTCATAATCGGCGTGGGTTGCTCTAGCCAGACCGACAACAATTCCTGCAATCTCAAAGACACTTCAGCCCAAACCCTATATTTGCAAGGCAAGAAAGGTACTTTGTCAATATTCCGCTACAAGAGTCGATAGAACGAAGCTTCCATACAACAACGGCGAGGGTAAAGTTACTTACATGTAATTCTCTTCATCTTCAAAATACTTGAGAAGGGTCAAGAAACTGCTGGTGGGCGCAATTCCACTAGCAACCAATGCAGCAGCATCGGTCAAAAGTCCGACTCTGTTAGCTGCGTTCAGTTGCTCCGTGCCAAACGTCTGTCCGAGAAGCGCCAAGGTCTTGGGAGGATAGGACACTCTGTAGAATCCTGTCTGGCCCATGTTGAACTTGTACCACTGTGTTGTGTCCACCTTCAAAACCAACTCCTTGGTGTCCATCATGATGTTGCGAGGCGTCGAGTCCGATGCAGTGACAAGTCCCAATGGCACGGGCCAGATAATGTGATCCTCCTCTTCACGGACATCTCCAGTCGACAAGAACAGGTTCTGGCGCACCAAGATGGTTGACTCGTCCAACTCTGTAATCGACAACACGGGGTACTAAAATCATCATGACAAGTTGAGAACTGTATGAGTTGGGAATACACGTCAATAAGCCTAAAGTACTTTCTCACGCTTTTCATCCTTGATATATGTAACCTACCCCGGTCTGGCGAGTCCATTTGCGCATGAATCCAGGAACATCCATCTTTGACTCTTCGGCCAAAGTGACCCAGAGATCCTCGGTGTTGGCGTTGCTCCACATGTACTTGTGAATAAACTTTCGGAGGCCTAGCAGCAGCTGATCCTGACCCAACCAGGCACTGAGCATTCGCAAGACAGAGGCTCCCTTCATGTAGCTGACTTCGTCAAAGATCTGTGTGATCTCGCTTGGGTTGGCAACCCCGACCTCAACTGGGTGAGATGTCCGCAAGGAGTCGTGTTTGAGAACTTCCTGAATCCGTTTGACAAACTCTGACCAGATATCCCAGCCAGGGAACAGTTCGTCCACCACAATGTACGCCAAATGTGTCGCGAACCCCTCAAACAGCCACAAATCCGACCACCACTCCATCGTCACTAAGTTGCCGAACCACTAATAGCGAGAAAAGTAAAAATAAACATAAAAATTAGATTAGCATGCATGACCCAGTGATAAAAACTTGAGGCTGGATAAAATCAAAATCAAACTAGGCATATTGTTAGTTACTTGGTGAGAAATTTCGTGGATCACTGTTGCTGCAATCTCGTGTCGTCGATCCTGGGACCCGTATTCCTCAATCAACAGCGCATATGTTCTGAAGGTGATCAGGCCCCAGTTCTCCATCGCACCTGGCGCAAAGTCGGGCACCGCCACCAAGTCCAGCTTGGGCAACGGGTATGGTATATTGAATAATCGCGAGAAATATTCGACCGACTAATAAGAATAAAAGAATCAGTGTCAAGGTTAAATAGCATAAACTAGCAATGCACTCACACAACATAGTTGGAGAACAAACGTATGCCAAAGAGTTGTTACCTTGACGGCGAGATCGAGAGAGTAATGGCCCTGGTCAGCAAGACCAACAGGAGTGTAAACGCGGCACGGGATGCGCTCGCCATTGAATTCGCCAGAAGTGTACGCCTCAATGTAGTCAAAATCTCCAATCATCCATGCCAATAGCTAATTATGAAAAAGGACGAGACAGTCGAGATACATGTTAATATTAGCTGCATGTTCTAGCCTCGCCAAGTACCTGACATTGCTTACAGGAACGGCAAAAAAGGACTTACGTAGGTGGCCATGATGGGCGTCTTCAAAAACGCCACTTCCTGCATACCGTTCTCGAGCAATGTGGTTGACTGTACACTCATGTTGGATAGACACGTCATGCCCTGGGGAGCCACCAGCGTCAGCGAAAAGGTCGATTTGATAGCTGGCTACAAGTCATGGGAAGGAAGAAGACCAATTAGTCCAATGAGCGACTTGCGGACAAAATTATAGACGGCTCACTCACCCATGCTCACACGAAAAAGAGAAAAAAATGCTGAGCACCAGCAAAGAAATTCGGAGATTCAGAGACGCAATACAAAAGACGCAGAGATGCGATGCCGGGAAGGTTCTCGGCGCTGTGCTATTGATGTTACGCTGTACGTTACCTCATCCCAACATGGAAAGGCTCGTCGAGCATGCGTAGACTGGAATTGCGTGGTTGTCAATTGGCTATACGATAGAAAAACGAGAAGGAAAAAATGGTGGGCAAATAAATTAAGCATGTCCCAAAAAAAAGAGAGCAATTAAGTATAACCTTGGTGGAGGGAGAGAAAACTATTTTCCAGAAAATCCAGGACGGTTCACCCACAGTAATGCATATTATGTAAACGAAGAAAGCGAAAAAAAGCAAGGGGGGCCTGGACTTACTGAACGTTGTTGTCGGCGTCGGTGTAGACGGACCGGTAAAAGCCGTTAAGCTTGTCGTTGACGAGACCGATATATGTGATGTCGAGGATCCAGGAGGAGCCCACATGGAGGACCTGAGGGAACTCGAGGGTGATGGTCTCCTCTTCAACATTGTAGCTCACACTCGTCGCGGTGACACTATGAAAAAGCACAAGGAAAGGTACAAATGTGTGTGAGAAAACACCAGCCATGCACCTTGCTGTGAGTTGTTTTTGTTTATCTATCGACATTTACCCGCGCGTGTTTTCAGCCTCTTTTTTTTTTTTTTTTTTTTTTTTTTTTTTTTGGCGATATTGCCTTCCTGCCCCTCCCAGAAACGATGGGTCGTAGCATGTCCTCTTTTGCAAACACATGCTTCGTCTTTCTTGTGTATAAACCATGAATAATACGGGAGAGTCGTCCTATTGTCCATGTGGAGATGGGAGGGTGCGCTTCTTTTTTGTTTGTGATGTCCTGCCAGTACGCGTTCGTAGTTGAAGTGAACTTGATCCCAATGATATTATTATCAGATCATCATCCATCTAACGCGACCACTCCCCCAGCCTCTTTGTATTTAGCACCTTTCTCATGACAGTCCATTGTTTACCGCCCTCTTTTCTGTTGGTGCATACAGGTTGGTGCTTGTAGGAGCAGTAAAGAACAAAAGTAACGAATGGCGTTTGCCTTTTGTTGTTATTGTCATGTACTGAATCACGCGTAGTGTTGTGTCGTTGCGTGTTTGAGTATGACGGTGAGTGTATGTAAGTGTAAAGTGGCAGTTGGTATGAAGGCATGTGTATCTATGTGTTTGTTCCCTGAAAGGGTAGTTGGGCTTTGACGCTGGGCTTGGTCCTCCTCCTCCTTTTCTTCCCCCTGTGCGTGTCCGTCCCTTTTCGATTGCCATGTTCCCCCTTCGACTCCCCCTTTGTGTTCCCCTCAGCTGTTGTGTTGTGTTTTATTCCATTTTCCCTGAGCGTTCTTGTCACCATGCGTGATTGATCCAGCCTGTCAGTTGGTATAATCTCGGGTGACATGCAGACAGACATACATGTACACATTTTGTTTGGACGCATCGACACTTCCTCATCACAGCCCTTGCACCTTTCCTTTCCTCGATGACAAGCATAAACACAAACATGCAAAATCACAAAAGATAGCAGGAATGGGTTCCTCTCTATCGCCAATGCTGATGCAACACTCTCCCTTTTCTCATGTCAACTACTTGGCAGCTACTAAACACTTGCGCCAATGCCAATGCCAATGCTTAGGTCCAATTGACGGTATATTACCTGTACCCACTTAAGAGGTGGTCCCTTGCGGTGGCTGTCTGGATGTTGAGTTCCTTTGCGTTCAATGTGATGCCAAACGTTGGCTCGGCAATACAAATCCTATTCACACCACCAACCCCACAAAAAAACATAAACAAAAAGAACGTGAAAATAATAATAATTAATAAGTTGTTTCGTAGAAACAAGAAAACAATAGATCAGTTCGACAATTATGTCCAAGTGTAATCTCGAGAACAGTGAGGAGGGTGGCGTCGAATGAAGGAGGAAAAAGACGTAGTTGTTTGCGAAGCATGGAATGGGGAGCGTGGTGGCGATGATCTTGCAGTGCGTTGAAAGGGAGATCCCGATCGCACTGACTGTCTTGTGGGTATGTGTGTTTTGCGCTGCTCAATGTTCATCCGTTTCCCTTCATGTTGCCAAGTCCAGCTGAGGTCGAAACTGCCAAGGGTGTGGGCGAGGGCGAGAGGCGAGAAGGGAAAGGGGGTCAAGAACGAAGGGTTGTCTGTGTGTGTGCGCTGTTGTTGTTGTTGTTGTTGTTGCGTTGCTTGGAACAGGTGGTGGTGGAAAATAAAAGGAGGGAGTGTGAATGTGCCAGAAGAGTGGACACATAGAAGGAGGGAGTGACGACAGACAGTAAAAGAAAAAAAAAGTTCTTACTCGATGGAGCATTCGCCGAGGAAGGAGAAGTTAACGGGACAGGGGACAATCTTGAGTCTGTAGTGGATGGGGATGATGGACCGCTGGAGGGTCATGGAAGGTCGTTTGGGTACGGTCATGGCGGATGGGGTCGAGTTGTGGTGGAGAGAGGATCGCCAATTGCCGGGTGGAGAAGGTGAAGTTGGTTACTTGTTGACAAATGCAAAGGAAGAAAAGGAGTGGGGAGTGGTGGAGCAAGTGTTTGCGCAAGAGTGTGTAGGAGAGTGACAGGGAGTGCGCAAAAGCGAAAGTGTGTCAGTGATGATGAAGTAATGTGATATGAATATGATGATAATATGAGTGAGGATAACAACGAAGGAAGGAAGGAAGAATGAAAGAATGAAAGAACAAAGGAAAAGCAACGGAAGAGGAGAAGAAGGAAGGAAGAAGAGAGAGAGAGAGAGAGAGAGAGAGAGAGAGAGAGAGAGAGAGAGAGAGACACAGAGAGGCGTGAAAGAAAGACGAAAGTGGGGAGACGAGAGAAACCAAACAAGCACACAAAACCCTAAAATAATATATATTTTGACAAACCACGACCAGGGTGTCTGAATCTGAACCTGCAAAAAGGGTTCTACCGGGCAGGCAGTTAACTGGTGGGCTACCTTGGCAACGGTTGCACCCATGTCATCGCAGCTTACTGCCGAGCATGTTATAGTTATCAAAGACAGACAATACCGCACACCATTCGTAGACGGTTGTAAAAGTGAGGTTGAGAGTAAGATGGCACCTCGCATTGATTAGTTATCTCTGGGTCAAAGACATCATCACCCATCCACTCCCTATCGACACTTGCCCAATGCATTCGTCTCCTCAGTTCATAATTCATTTTTCATTTCAGCTGTTGCTCTCTTCATCTCATATGCCTTTTTTTTCCATTTCTTCTTTCCTTTCCTTTCCTTTCCTTGGGTACCTCCCTTTCTTTACCAAGCCCTGCGTAGCTTCGCCATGGCCCTGCCTGTCCTTCCTATCCATGCCATCCTATCCCCTACCACGCTCCTCTTCCTTGTATGGTTGTGGTTTTCTGCCTGTCCTCTTTCCTTCGTTCTTTTTCCTACAAGAACGAGAGTTGAATGACAAACCAAAAGGTGCGCACCCCCTTTATTTTGTGCATCCGAGCAAATCAACCCTCTTCAAAATCACCGAATGAAGCCATTGAATAGGAATCGAATCGTGAAAAGGCATTGAGAAAATTGGGCGAATAGCCGTTTTCGGGATCCCATTTCCCACCTTCCTCCTTTCATTTGGTTGTTGTTTTTTGATTGTTGGATCTTGAACAAAGATGATGATGAACGAAAAGAAGAAGAGAACTCAAAGGGGAAATGAACAGCCAGGAGCGGAGTTGGAGCACACGCGAGAATACCCAAAAGAAAAAAGTGTAAAAAACGGCAGTGGACCCGGACTCTCATCTCCTTCTCGGTCGTTGAACTTTTTTATTCTTTTCTTTCATGATAACCTATCACGATTCAATCAATTCAACATATGCCAGCGCCTGGTCGAGGGCCTGGTCAATCCACTCCTTTGATGAGTGGATAAGTAGCGACGAACAAGGAATGAGTTTGAGTCGAATTGAATGAGTGCGCACCATCCACTCTTATCATCGTCATCCTACCGTTTCTGTCTGCGCCGAATCGACAAGATTTGCCACGCACCCATACCTGTCTCACAAAGGAACACATCCCTTCTTTGTTTCCTCTTTCCTTTCCCCTGCCGCCCTTCCCCTGGTCTCTCGTGATCCTTTTGTTTGTATGTGAGCACATCTCTCTTTTCCCCCTTCGTTGTTTACTGTTGGGAAACACATTCAACGATTGAAAGAGCTCTCCCTTTCTTTGCTCTCTTGTCCACTTTTTCTCTCTCTTCGTATCCCCTGTGGTGGTACGAAAGAACACTCTATTCAGGCACAGCCTGCCACTCACGACATCCAAGAAGCACAACCTGCACAATCACTGAAAGCAACTACCAATGTCAAGGAGAAGGTACCACATATACCCTTGCTTGTTGGCTATTCTGCTTGGTCGACTTACCAGATTGGACACTTGCCGCTATTCACCCTCTCCCTACTTTCCCTTCATCTCCCCCTCCCTCTCCCCTGCTGGCCGATCGATCCAGTATGTTTCTTCATGCCTTGTGCCCTTATCCTCCTCACCTTTGTCTCTCGACACGCTGCAAACCTCCTCTCTCTTCTCAATTACTGTCAGGCCCTCAGTTTCTTTCACGAACAAGGCGTGTCTCGATCTGGTCCGCATGCCTCTCACTTTGTTTGTTTGCCCTGAGTCCCTCGTTAGTATTTTATCCTCCCTCCCCTACATTCATCCCCTCTTTTTTTTTCCCGCTGAACATGCAAATTTGTGTTTGTTGTTGTGCTGCATTCCCATGAGCTCTCTCCCATAACGGCACACAAATCAAGACCGGCCCAAAGATGGCGGGGAGGAGAGGGGTGAGGACAAGGGAAGGTGGGCGGAGGGCTGAAGAGAGGGACAGACAGAGATGTACTGTTGTTATTCGTTGCTGTTTACCATGAACAATTGGCTTTCCCATTGACCACAGTCCTGCGTTTTTTTTTTGCAGATGCACATGATAATATTGGACAGCCACAAACAAGAAAACACACACACGCACCTCCACACACACAAACAAACAAACAAACAAACAAACAAACAAACAAACGCAAAATGAAAAAAAAGTGTTGGAGTGTTTGCCAAGCGACACTCTACTCTCCCTTTTTAACTTTGTCTCTCTTTGCTCCATCTTCCCTTCCCTTCCCTTCCCTTCCCTCTTTCCTTATTTTTCTGTGTACGAGATGGATCAAACAAACAAAGAGAATAAAAAACATGGCCATCATCGCCATCATTGTATATTGACACGCCGCGGAAGTAAGGTTAAAGAAAAGGAAGAGGGGGGTACCTAATTGTGATGGAGGCAACTCCAAGCCTATGCATTGGGTGGCGTAACGCAAAGAAGAGTCATACAACACGCAAACGCCCGAGCCATCGATGGGAAGTTGGATGGACGGTGCTGGGAGACACGGCTTGTGGTGTGTTTGTTGCCACTTCTGTTCATGACGGGAGTCCGTCATATGGTTTTGTTGTTTTTGGTGTACAAAAATGGAGTCCATCCGAGTTTTCTTTGCCGACCTCTGTTCTTACGTCAAGAAACGCCTAGAAGTGAGAAAAAGACGGGTGAAATCGATGGGGATAGTGAAGAGAAAAAGAAGGTTAGGGACTATCAACAACAAGATGCGGCGTCGGATTTTCGGACAATAGGAGGGAGGTCAGATGGTTGACCAAGGGAGTGCAATCGAAGGACGCGATTTGCCGTTTATTCCATAAAGTGAGGCTAAAAAGGATAGTGTGCTAGGCACTGTCCTATGCTGCAACCCCCTCCTTCTTGAGTGAGTCGAGGAGGACTGTTAAAAGATATCTCACGTGAGCCCTTGATTAATCGTGTCTCCTTGTTTGTCGGTCCTGCCTGTAGCTCTCAAACATGAAAAAAAAACGCGGTTGTCTTTTGCCACCAACGTTTTGCCATCGTTCACTCCTCCATTGTCCTTTTTTCGTTTTTCTTTCACCACTCTGCCGGATCGCCTTGGTTCACCTCAACTACGACACAAACGCCTTGTACTCACCACTCGCCACATTCACACCTCACACCTCGAACTCATTCTTACCTCTGCATTCCACAAAAAGCCCTCCTCGGTGATTACACAAACACACGCACAACATGAGACTCAAGGCGACCATTCAACGAAACCTCCTCTTCTTCAGTACGAGCACCAAATAACCTTCTCTGCTACCCACAACTCTTGTCAGAGAACAGTGACCATATTATCAAAGAAAACGCCACGGCTGACAAAATACCACTCTGTGGACGTTAACAAATAGAGCTGGCACAAGCTGTAGAGAAGGTCGGCAAGTCGTTGTACATCAAGTTCTCAAAGGACTTTGTCGCCTTTGGTGCCAACCACGGTATTGGCGATGATCCAAATGAAGGAGGAGGCGGACTTCAGTGCTGGTCGTGAGTTCTCATCTTAATGTCCTGTACTCCTCTTAGACACCTATTGACTTCCGGATGATGGACGCTAACCGCCCTCCGTTTCTTTTTCTCTATGTGCTCCCATTGTTGACCCCTAGGCGACTCCCAGCGGTAAATACCCGTCTCACACTACGCCAATCGATCATCATTCGCGACAAAAAGATCCAATCACTGATGGTCACCCTCAATTGAACCATAACATAAATAGGGCGCGTTATTCTATGGATACCAGATTCACTCAAACTCGAACGACGAGATCAACATCGAGTTGAAGGCTGAGGACCTACTCCTGGCCATGAAGTCTGCCATTAACTCGTCCTCGGTCACCATGCGCATGACCGGTCGTACCGCTGACCCTTACCTCACCTTTGTCGTCACTACCGAGGTACTTCTTTCTTTCCAAATCATGTCAGTCCTAATTGTCGTCTCATGGTTCACCCTAGACGACAATGCTAACAACGGAACAATGCTTATAATGGAATGAATAGGATCACTTGGGGAATGCGAGGCCGATTACGCTTGACATCCCCATCCTCAAGATTCTGACAGCGTCAGGAGCAGAGGACACTCACGCATTCGATGAACCGGGTATCGACGACCCAGATGTATACATCATGCCTCCGCAACTGGATCGACTCCGGAATATGCTGACGAGTTACAAGGGTCTTTGTGACTATGTGGTCATCTCTGCTAACCTTCAGGGTGACATGGTCTTTACTACTTCAAACGGAGATATCCTTGATGACCGTGATGTTCCCTCCTTGACTCCTCCTCAAACACGCACATTATCTTCTGGATCGCGTCGAGGTGGTGGTAATGAGCCCAGTGCGACTGAGCAGATCATGAGACGGTATGGAGAAGCAGAGAAGGCTCAGGTCGAGACCCGGTTCTCGAACCTCTTCAACCCACCTCTGGCAGAGGCGCCTCAGAGAAATACTGATGGGACGTATGACAGCAGGCGTGATGAGCTGAAGGCGGATAGGACGATTAATCGGCCGGGCAAATTTGACAGTGTCATGATCCGAGTCTCGGATCTGCAGCGTGTCCTCCAGAGCCAGAACGTCCGTCCCCAAAACGTCATCTGCAGTAAGTTCTTCTTGTCGTTATTGTTGTTCTGGGTCATCGTAGGAGTGACCAAGTGAAAGAGAGAGGAAGAAGGAACAAAAAAGATGTTATGCTTACTCTTTCCTTTTTTTCTTTTTTTTTTTGCTTTGTTGCGGATGTGTGTAGGTTTGCTAGACAACCAGTCGATCCTGTTTATGGTGTACATGCGAGACACGGATAATGCGACCCTCGTCTATTTTATCCCCCAGGCCGGCTGCATCTGACCCTCTTTTTGACGCCCTCACTAAACCAGGTAGTAGTACGTACAATACATACACGACATTTCTTTCATTTTTTTGCATACCTACGATCCACAGCCGCCTATGGTTGCTAATTGGTTCAAGATGACTATCAACTGTCACTTTCTCATGTTTGTGCGGGTGACCCACTTATCCATCCCTCGCATTTCCTCACTTGGCACCTGTTTCTTCTTTGATCATGGTCCGCCTTCCACCTACAACATATGAATCAGGACCTGCATCTTTGCCGTTAATTGGTACCTGAAAAATTGAGCCAATGGGAGGGCACGGTTGCTAAATTGATTTTTGATTTCTTGGTCACAAATGAACTGGGAAGTGGCACGCGGCATGGAGTAAGGCGGGAGAGGGGGACAGGGCAGAGTATACCGCTCCGCTAGAGGCATGGTGCGGGAGAAAGAAGAATGTTGCTGACAGGCTAAGAAATGTAATTAAGTGCATAGAGAGGCTAGCTACTGGTGGCAGGAAATAGGGGCGGTCAAATAGCGACTTTACAAGAGAGCTAATATCTACAGGAGAGAAAAATGGGGTGTGGGAACTAAAAACAAAAAGATAAAGAGGGGGCTGTGAGCAGGTAGGTGGCTGTTCGAAAAAGAAACAAAGAGTCCATTAGACGCAAAAGAAGGGGCTCTCAGAGAGGATGGGCGGGATACTACTACTGTGAGGCTGTAACGACTAGGTTGTCGAGAGCATGGTCAATGGGTCTATCACTGCCAATTGCTTGGGGCATGTAATGGACAAGGTGGCTGGAGGGATCTGTGACTAGCAATGACTAGAGAGACGGCTCACCAGCATAGCATTGCACGATACAAAAGGGGGAAGAGAAAAAAGGCAGGGGACGCGGGAGGGAGGGATGAGGGTACCTGCACATACCTCTTGTCTGCAAGCCATCTACTTTGCAATATCTCGGGTGTAAGTTCGGTAAGATGTATGAGTACCGTGGAGAGATGGTCGGGAAGCATAAATGACGAGGTGACAAATAAACAAACAGAGAGATGAGCGAGATTGTAGGGGGAGAGGGGTAACAGGAGCAATTTGTCAATGTCAGGATCAGGACTACCGATGATGACCACTACGGGCGTTGCAGTACGTTGTCGTTATATTGTATGCATGGTGCATGCGGGTCATAATTGCGATGGAACAGCGGGAATGAGTCAGTCAATGGCCCTCATTATATGCCTATACTCCTGACCTGTCCCTATACATGTCTAGTGCGTTCCAACCATACATCCCCTGCACACTGTACTCATAACAGGAAGTTGAGTAGTGTTCCCCCTTGTTTCAAGTTGAAATGGATAATTTGTCTGTTTTGTGCCTGAGATCGAAAAAGAGGGAAATGGGCATTTATCACCCCTCCCCTCTTTGTGTCTGCATTCTGGAAGAAATTTAACTTTATTGCCGCTTGGGGCGCTGATAATTGATTTTCTTGGAGTGGGTCAGAAACGATTAGGACAGAACGCAACTGAGGGCAATGTCTCTCCCTCTTGATATTGGTGTGGTCAAGAAAGAGAAAAGTCGGTTAAAAAGTACAGTGAAAAGGAGGTGACTGAATGCCTTTTTTTCCTTATTGTTTCTGTTTATTGCGACGGAAGGTGATAAAAACCCCAAAGAAATCAAGCGAAAAAGCAGGGGGCCGGAGTGAGTGACATAAAAATTGAGAGCATTGGGTGGATGTGAGTTAGACATTCACATACAGAGTGACACACAGACCAGGATGCGGCTCTTTTTCTCACCTTGCTCTGATATCGTTTATGTAAACCAAGGTGCATCAATGAGCAGTTGGGTGAGAAAGGGGAACAATGTCATGTTAGCAAAGGGGATATATGTATTCTCTCAAACAGAAAGCAAGCAAGAAAGGGGACGGCGTTAGGGATCGATGGTTCTTTGTTCCCCATCTCTCATTCAGTTGTTGATCCAGTCAGTTGAACTTACTTGCGATTGTTTAGCGACATAAGACAAAAGGCATACAGAAAAAGGCGAGGAAGAGGAAGAAATAGGAGAAGGATTGTTTATTTACTTTGACGGGGGGTCATTCGTCCGTTGGTGACATGGCGTTGGAGTGTAATATCGAGTTACATTATGTGACAGGAAGGAATCAATTGGCACCATGGATAGGGCGTGTTTGTGTTGTTGGTGTCACCATCCCTTTTATGTTGTCCAACCTTCCGTTAGAACATTTTATGGCAGGACCAGTCCATGCTCTTGTTCCCTTTCTACTCTTTTCTCTTTACCACGTTCCTTTGCCTTTCTTCCTTTCCTCCCAATCTGCCTGCCGGCTGCTTGTAGTATTAGAGTCAACAGTGCAATCTCCCGCTGGCCGGCTGTATTACCTTACCTTTTCTACCTATGTCTTCCCTTGTTGATTCACTCCGATGTCCACATCACAAATTAGTCTTTACCGTTCGTTGACATTCTGATCTGACACATAAACAAACAATCGACAAGGCGCACCCTGACCACGACCGCTTTGCCTTACTGCATGCATGCCGATAATTTATTTCGTTTCGCATCTACATTAATTTACATTTGACCATTTGACCTCCCTGTGCTGCAGTAACACGCCCTGTTCTTCCCAAACCCTATTCTATCCCCTCATTTTTTTTGCTGCGATTTGATTTTCTCCGTTCTCCTGCCTTTAATTTACATTCAATTTGTTCGATCACACCTTATTCTTCCTTGCCTTGTTGTTTGTTTTGCTTGTTTTCCCCTCTTCTCTTTCGGTATAAAAAGCAAAGGATGCCCCCAGTCGACATGACTTTTCCTCCTCCTTCTTTTCTTTTTCCTTCACCCTCATACACTGTACAGCTTCCTTCTCTTTCTTGTTTATAGTAATACCCTAATCCTTCACTCCCTTCCACAGCTCAACAGTCTCAACCTGCACGATCCACTCCATCAACCTTATTCTTTCCTTCTCCTATCGTTACACACCATTTAATCCCTCGCCGCCACAAACACAGAGCAACAACATCAACCACCTCTTGTACAGACTCCTTCCTACTCCTCCCAAACGCACCCTTCCGTTCCCCACCCACAGCATCTACAACAATGGGTGACATCCCGCGTAACACCAACCCCTTCCCGACAACCCCCCCACCGGCGCCCAAAACCACCACCACCACCAGCGAAAAAACTACCACCACCACCGACGAAAAACCAACCACCACTACGACAGCAAGTGCTATTACCACTACCCACGCTCCGTCACCCATCGTCACATCCTCAGTAATCAAATCTGCAACTTCAGATTCACACTCAATCTCGGCCTCCTTCTCCTCGTCCGCACTCGTGTCTCCCTCCACGACACCATCCCCATTGACGGCACTCCCGGTGTCCAAAGGCGACGACGACCTGTTCGGTCGACCCGCGACCGTAGGCGGGTTCAACATGACGGCGGGCATCTTAATCTATGGATCCTTCGTAGTCCTCTTTGTTGCGGCAGTCGGATTCGCGACAGTGCATCGTCTCCGGACTCGACGTGCTTTCCGGTTGAAGCAGATGGCGACCCAGGAGGGGCCTGGTCATGGGAACGATGACGGAGAGAGTGGACGAAGAGGTTTGCCGAGAGGACTTGTTGGTGGTATTGGAGGCACGGGTGAGAAGAGGATGTATATGGATGAAGATTTGAAGTTGGAGTTTGGGGATGATGAGAAGGAGAATATGGGTGCGGTGAGGGGGATGGAGGATGAGGAGGAGGATATGTACACTTATCCTAACCGAAGTGAGTTGTTCAAGAAGGCTTCTATGAGTCGCAAGGCTTTGATGACCGACGCTGCCCCTGCGGCGACTTCTCCTCCTTTGAAGGCTGTTTCTACTACCAACGCCAACACTCCTTCTGCCAGGGCTGCGAAACGCGCCTCATCGTCTTCTACGTCTTCTTCCAGATCCAAGAGATTGTCATCCGCCCAAGAGTACGATATCTACACCTCAGGTTCCCGTGGCGGTGTCATGACCGCCGCTGCAGCCGTCGCAGCCCTCGACCGTCCCAAGGCCGCCATCTCCAACCCCGTCGTCCGCTTTGAAGATACCGATTCAACCATGGGCAGCATCCTCATCTCCCGCCCATCCTTCAGCAAGACCACCTCCATCGCAAGCTCCGACGATCTTGACCACATGACCTCCTACAGCCCCGAACCCGTCCTCCTCGAAATCGACGACGAATCCGACTACTCCTCCCCTCCCTTGCGCGAATCCCCCTCATCCCTCGACACCACCTACAAGGTCCTGACAACCCTCCCGCCAGCAGCCTACCAATCCCGTGGCCAACAGGGGTACATGGCTCCCACCCAGAGCAGCACTACCCAACAGAAGCGTCAATCCCCTCCACCACCCCCCAAATCCCTCAAACGTCTCTCCCCCGTCTCGACCGCCGGAGCGACACTCGCCAAGAACTACCAGCAAGCCCACCCCATCGCCTCGACCGCCAAACTGGGCCCTACCAAGACTTCTACGGCCCCCGCTGTCTCTACCGCCGCCCTGTCGCGCTCCAACACCCTCCGCACCGGATTCACATCCACATCCGCCCGCGGTGCCAACAATAATGGTCTCAAGCGCTCCAGCAGTACCAGCACCACGTCCTCCATTTCTTCGTTGGCTTCGTCCAAGACCGGTCGCTCGGGCAACATCTACTATAACGCGTCGCATTATGGCCGGTCCGAGTTCTCGCCTGCAGAGAACAGGAAGGAAATCGACACGGACAAGTACCCGGTTCCGATTTTGAGGTCCACAAGCACACGCTTGCCTATGGAGATGCGGAAGGGTGGTGCTCCTGCTATTGCTACTGCTGCTGCTACTACTACTACTACTACTACTACTACTGGGTATAACAGCAACGATGCTAGCAACTACTTTTAGATGTACAGAAACCCAAAAAACTGCATTGTGTGAGTGTCCAGCTTGTACAGAAAGCACCAACATTATATATAGTAACATAAAATAAAATGAAAAAGAAGAAAAACCGTCATCAGGGGGGGGGGGGGGTGCCTTCGAAGTGAAAAGAGAAATGATGCTGAAAGAAAAACGAGAAGGGAAGGAGGGCAATGCAAAGGAAGGTGGCAAAACTAGATAAAACTTCTAGTATCCGCGCGCTGTGCTAAATAATTAGAATTGTCCAGCGAACGTGTAAGAATAGAAGGGGGCGGATCTTCTTCTTCAAACAACACGGTCAAATACTTTTGGAATCATCTTGTTTGAAGGGACGTTACACAGACATACAACCTATAATAGTCGCGATATTTTTAATGTGACATGAAAAAAGGAGAATGGAGGAGTGTCTGTGATGAGCAAGAGGACCAGTTGAACGGCCAAAAAAAAAGAGAATCCCTCTCTGATCGCGTACATCACACAAGAGAAAACATTCAAACAAGCAAAGAGTAACACCTTACGATCCAAGGTCTGGTACCGACAACATGGACAGCGAGCATGTAGGCCTTGTGAACCGCGACCATAAACTACTGTGACAAAATCATCGTACAGACATTTTTTCTAGTTCATACTCCAAGACGCCCCGATAGCTCAATTCCGATATCACTCCCTCGTCATCGTCCATCATTCGAGTCCTAAAAAGTGACAGGGGATGTCAACTGGAGTGACTCCAAAGAACTGTGATGATGAGTGGGGAAGGGCTGAAAAGAAAGTTTAGGGGCGAGCAACCAACGGAAAACAAGAGCGTACATCGAACAGGCGAAAACATGGGATGAGAAATACCATCCATTGGATGATCTGATAACTACAACGTACCGCCGCCGGACGGGTTCTCCTAGAGATGCCAGATGAACACGACCAGATGGCGCTACATTTCACAAGCAAAGCAAAGCAGCCACTGACCTTTGATGTAACACAAAAGAAAAACAAACCATTCAAGAACAACTACCAATTCAGTATCTAGGACTCGCAAAATAAATAGACTCATTCCTAATTCACTCGAATCCATGTCCTCCATGGCCGTCATTCACTTGTTCACCCCGTCAAAGCATTGTGTTTGTACTTATGTTTTATTATTCCGACTATATAGCAGACTATGCTAATCGCTATGTAAGTAGACCCGCCGCTAGTCAGTGACCCTCTCCTTTCTCCTTCTCACTCCTCATCCGAAGCAAGAAAAGAGAGAGACACCGTCCAGGGCACACCACGAGGAGGTCGCGGGTTCAATTTGGTGCCCCAAACAAAAACAGCTCCCCCCAAAGCTTCTCCAAACGGAGTCGACTTGAAGGGATTAGAAAAACAAACCCAGGCTCAGAACTGTACTCACGCTATATTCGGCCGAAAGTAGCAATCATCCTTGCCCAAATTTGAGGAAGGCGTGTCACAATGTGGCTGCGCCTTCCTATTTATCTCTCATTGTCCCGTTTGTCCTGTTTGTCGTGTTGTTGAGATGCATCACAATGTGGTAGTCAGGTTCTCGTGTTGTTGTGTTGTTGTGTTGTTGTGTTGTTGTGTTGTTGTGTTGTGGCGTTGTTGTGCTGTCGTCTTGTTGTTTTGCTGTGTTGTCGTGTTGTTGTGTTGTTGTGTTGTCGTTTTGTTGTGTTGTCGTGTTGCTGTCTTGTTGTGTTGTGGTGTTGTGGTGTTGTGGTGTTCTCGTATTCTCGTGTTGTCGTATTGTCGTGTTGCTGTCTTGTTGTGTTGTTGTACTGTCGTGTTGTTGTTTTCTTGTTTTGTTGTATTGTTGTGTTGTTGTGTTGTTGTGTTGTCGTGTTGTTGTGTTGTTGTGTTATCGTGTTGTTGTGTTGTGGCGTTGTTGTGCTGTGGTGTTGTCGTGTTGTCGTGTTGTTGCGTTGTTGTATTGTCGTATTGTTGTATTGTCGTATTGTCGTATTGTTGTGTTGTCGTTTTGTCATTTTGTCCTGTTGTTGTGTTGTTGTGTCGTTGTGTTCTCGTGTTGTCGTATTGTCGTATTGTTGTGTTCTCGTGTTGTTGTATTGTTGTGTTGTCGTGTCGTTGTGTTGTTGTGTTGTCGTGTTGTTGTGTTGTTGTGTTGTCGTGTTGTTGTGCTGTGGTGTTGTCGTGTTGTCGTGTTCTCGTGTTGTCGTGTTGTCGTGTTGTCGTATTGTTGTGTTGTTGTGTTGTCGTATTGTTGTGTTGTCGTGTTGTTGTGTTGTCGTGTTGTTGTGTTGTTGTTTTGTTGAGTTGTCGCATTGTCGTGTTGTCGAGGCACATCACAAAGTGGTAGCCTGTCGTCCTGTTCCCGTGTTGTCGAGGCACATCACACAGTGGTAGCCTGTCATCCTGCTCTTGCGTTGTCAAGGCACATCACACAGTGGTAGCCTGTCGTCCTGTTCTCGCGTTCTCGAGGCACATCACAAAGTGGTAGCCTGTCGTCCTGTTCCCGTGTTGTCGAGGCACATCACACAGTGGTAGCCTGTCATCCTGCTCTTGCGTTGTCAAGGCACATCACACAGTGGTAGCCTGTCGTCCTGTTCTCGCGTTCTCGAGGCACATCACAAAGTGGTAGCCTGTCGTCCTGTTCCCGTGTTGTCGAGGCACATCACACAGTGGTAGCCTGTCATCCTGCTCTTGCGTTGTCAAGGCACATCACACAGTGGTAGCCTGTCGTCCTGTTCTCGCGTTCTCGAGGCACATCACAATGTGGTAGCCTGTCATCCTGTTCTCGCGTTCTCGAGGCACATCACAAAGTGGTAGCCTGTCGTCCTGTTCTAGCGTTCTCGAGGCACATCACAATGTGGTAGCCTGTCGTCGCGTTCTCGTGTTGTCGAGGCACATCACACAGTGGTAGCCTGTCATCCTGTTGTCGCGTTCTCGAGGCACATCACAATGTGGTAGCCTGTCATCCTGTTCTCGCGTTCTCGAGGCACATCACAATGTGGTCGCCTGTCGTCCTGTTGTCGCGTTCTCGAGGCACATCACACAGTGGTAGCCTGTCATCCTGTTCCCGTGTTGTCGAGGCACATCACAATGTGGTAGCCTGTTGTCGCGTTCTCGTGTTGTCGAGGCACATTACAATGTGGTAGCCTGTCGTCCTGTTGTCGTGTTGTCGAGGCACATCACAATGTGGTAGCCTGTCATCCTGTTCCCGTGTTGTCGAGGCACTTCACACAGTGGTAGCCTGTTGTCGCGTTCTCGTGTTGTCGAGGCACATCACAATGTGGTAGCCTGTCATCCTGTTGTCGCGTTCTCGAGGCACATCACAATGTGGTAGCCTGTCGCCCTGTTCCCGTGTTGTCGAGGCACATCACAATGTGGTAGCCTGTCATCCTGTTCTCGTGTTGTCGAGGCACATCACAATGTGGTAGCCTGTCATCCTGTTCCCATGTTGTCGAGGCACATCACAAAGTGGTAGCCTATCATCCTATTCTCGTGTTGTCGAGGCACATCACAAAGTGGTAGCCTATCATCCTGTTCTCATGTTATCGAGGCACATCACACAGTGGTAGCCTATCCTCCTGTTCCCGCGTTCTCGAGGCACATCACAATGTGGTAGCCTGTCATCCTGTTCTCATGTTATCGAGGCACATCACACAGTGGTAGCCTATCCTCCTGTTCCCGCGTTCTCGAGGCACATCACAATGTGGTAGCCTGTCGTCGCGTTCTCGTGTTGTCGAGGCACATCACAATGTGGTAGCCTGTCATCCTGTTGTCGCGTTCTCGAGGCACATCACAATGTGGTAGCCTGTCATCCTGTTCCCGTGTTGTCGAGGCACTTCACACAGTGGTAGCCTGTTGTCGCGTTCTCGTGTTGTCGAGGCACATCACAATGTGGTAGCCTGTTGTCGCATTGTCGTGTTGTCATCCTGAAATGTCCATCCTGAAATATCCATCCATCCATCCTGAAATGTCCATCCTGAATAGTCGATTCCTGTTGGGAAGGGCGAGGGTGAAGAAAAAGAAGAGAGAAGAGGGGGAGTCTGCCCTTTTATATTAAAAAAAAATCAATTTTGACTTTTGCCACCGGATTTTTTTTCCCTCACTCGCATGACAGACCTTCTCTCTCCCTTTCCCTCATCCTTTCCGCTCCTGGTGATGCCATTGGCAGAAGAAGGAAAACAGGACAAACAGGATAACCCTCCGTGACGCGCACTGACAGCACGTATGCTGTTGTTATGGGGAAACAAGAAAAAAGTTGCCGTTTGGAGGTTTGGTAACGCTTGGGGAAGCTGTTTTTGTTTGAGGCACCAACCGCTTTGGACGGTACCTCTCTCTCTTTTCTTGCTTTGGATGAGGAATGAGAAGGAGAAAGGAGAGGGGACACCGACTAGCGGCGGGTCTATTTACATAGCGATTAGCATAGTCTGTTATGTAGTCTGAAGAATAAAACACAGGCAATGCTTAGACGCGGTGAAAGAGTGAATGGAATGCGGCCATGGAGGAAATGGCTTTGAGTGAATTAGAAATGAGCAATTCAGTTGGTCGAGCGAAACAGGCTTGTCATCTCGCAGTGAGTCGCAGTACCATGTCGTTCGTCTCTCTTGTGTGTTTCTGCTAACAGGCCGTTGTCTCCTTGTCTCCTTACTCCATCCTTGTTCGTTTTGAACGTTTTACGTTATGGCTTCCATTGGCACCTTGTAAGGTGATTCGTGACCGGTTTTCTCATTGCCTTTCTCCACCCTCAATGCACTTTTGCTGCCACGAAAACTGACTCTCAAAATGAAAAGACGAGATGTAAATAGGGGCCACTCTGTACGATCCCCAGAATGCATCTTTCAAGAATTGGCAACGTTCGCCTACCTCCATGCGTTTATTGACGTATCTTTCAAGGAATTCAAGAAGAAATGGTAAAAGAGGGTATGCGGTATACTAATACTTGAGAGGCGCGAGACCCACGCGAGGGTTCAAAGGCGAATGGTCAAAGACACAATAATTGTTCTTGATAAATACATCACCCAGAATCCACAACCCTTCTTGTCCACCTTGCACTCCCGACAGACAAGTCTCCCCCTTTTCACCATCAACCGCCTCAAATGCCAGATCTGCAAGTGGGACCTTGAGATACTTCCCGTTCAGTTTGAAGCCAATAACGGAGGATGAAGGGGTGTTGCGCAGGGCGCATGGGACAAGGTAGCCGAGTTTTTGGTCGAGAGTGGCACCGGGGATAGAGGAATGGATTAGTTTCGCGGCGGATGTAGAGACGATGATTAAGGTCGTGCCGGTGTCGAGGATTGCTTCCTGTTTAGGGGTGGCATGTTCGACCCATGCAGGCTTGTTCCTGTTATGGGCGGCGCTGCTGGCTTCTTTGGAAGGGAGAGTAGGGATCTTGAAGGCATCGAGCTTGACTTGCCAGAACCCTTTCTGAGTAACGGGGACGTAGTGGAGCTGACCAGTGTACTGTGAATGATCAATCCCGCCGAAGAGAACGTGACCATTGCGGCCGCCGTTCTTGCGGAGCGAAGGTAAGAAGACCGACACGACTGGTTGCTTCAACACACCGCCTTTGGTCTTGTTCTTCGCAGAGGTGGCTATGGCGTTGTCCATGAATGTGCTGACACCCTTGACGCTCAACAGAGTATTGAACCCTAACCCAAAGATCCCATCCTCCGGCGAGTCCTTGAACTTGTCCGACACATTCTTTGCTAGTCCCACCGTCTGCCTAACTTGCACACCACCGGCGTTGACAATTTCGGACGCGAGATAGCCGTTGGCGAAAGATCCGTCTCCGTACTCAATTTTCCAGGGTCGGTTATCTTTTTTGTAGGTTGAGGATTTGGACGAGTTGAAGCGGGTGTGGACTTTGCATGCGGGTGTAGAGCAAGAGGTGGAGGGGAACCAGATGTCAGAGGACCCTGTGTCGAAGATGAGGTTGAGTGTTTGGGCTGGAGTTCCCACTTTTACCACACCGTAGTACTATTCGCACGAACAATATAATGCAGAGAGAGAGAGAGAGAGTGACAAAAAAAAATGCCGAACGATTAATTTTTCGTATCTCTGAGTGCAGATATAAAATACACATTTATTCTCACAAGTCCTCCATGTACTTGTACAGACAGAAAGGGGTACATACCTCAAGGTCAGGGTTGACATTAACAAGGCCCACCTTTCCAGTACAAGCTGAAACAAAACCTTCACCGGCCTTGATTTTGATATTGGGGTATCGTTTATTGAGTTTTTGGATATGGGCAGGGGTGTTGTGGATGTAGTCGGGGTTGAGGACGAGGGGGACTGCACCGATACCTTCGTCTAAGGGAGAAGCGTTGGAGAAGGTAGTTGTGGTCGCTAGGGCCAACGAGAGCAGGAGAGCGAGCTTCATGGCTGTGAGGGATTGGTTGCTGTGGAGGTGAAAGATGAAGGATGGAGTGGGTTGAGGAATGAAGGAAAAGAGGGATAAGGGATGAGGTGATGGAGGGGGTGGATGAGTGAAGAAGTGAGGAAGGGGAAGACAAGGAAAGGGAATCTTGGAGAAGAAGGAGAAAAGAAAAGAAGAGAAGAGGAAGGGGAGGGGCATGGATACTTTTATCCATCCACACCCACACCATCATGGTTCCCGTGGATCATTCATTTTGTTTTATCCATCGATGGAGGAGGTTGTTCTAATTGCTCACTGAATCGATTTAGTCTTATTGCACTTCCTCCCAATTAATTTGTCTACCGCTTGCTTTGCATCCTTGGGTCCATTGATTCAAACAACGCCACCAAAATGGTCCCCTGAAACAGAACGCATGCAGCCAATTCTTCTATTTGCCTAACATCATCATCGCACCTCATTATGTTTCTTTTTTATGCGGTAAGTAGGTCGATTGCTTCCTGCCACAACCTTAAAAACAAACAATAGAATAAAGGCAAGAGGGAGAGAAGAGAGAAAAGGTAATTAGAAACGACGGGAAGCGAATGGGTGCAGGAAGTAGTGCGGGTTCTAACGCAAGACGGTGATTCCGGGAATCCTCTAAAAGAGGTCGCACACAGGGAGAGGGGGAAAGGAAGGAGAGGCGCATTCACGTTAGTGGTGCTCACCCCTTTTTCCCCTCCCTCTCGTTTTCAGCCGTGTATGGCACGAATGCATTTTCGTTGACGTCGCTTTTCCAAGCGAGAAGAGAAGAGAGAAAGAAATTAGGCAGCTGCGAAAAGGAGAGAAGAGAGAGGAGAGGATTTAATGAAAACGGACGAGGGAATGATTACAGAAACACCGTGACAGGGATGAAGAGGAAGAAAAACGGTGTTTGTTACTGGTGGAAGAAGGAAAGGGGTCGAAATCCAAGCGCCATTGAGGGTGATACAAAGAGCACAGCGCAGATCAATATTATTTCTCTTTCATCTTCTCTCTCCCAACAAGCTAGGCAACACCCTTCGCCCCAAGATTCAATTCGTTTCTTCCTCCTTCCTTCCTTCCTATCGCCTTTCACCGAAAACACACCCTCATTCTCATTCAAAAAAAAGACAACATGTCCAGCCGTTCAAGCCTACTGCGCTTCTTGATCGTCCTTGTCACCATGCTCGCCGTCTTCCACGAAACTCAGCTTCTCTGATCAAACAAATTCGCCAGCGCCGACGTAAAAGTCCTGTTCAAGCAATGCTCCTTCCGAGACCTGGCCAAGACGGTGGATGATGACACATGCATCACCATACCAACAGGTTATTAGCCCTGTGGCGTCCGATCGGTGGATGGCACTCTGTGCAAGTGCAGATATTTTAACGACGCTCTTTGTACGATCCTTCAAGAGAAGGGCTCGCTCTTTATTCGCGAGTTGCCGTGAAGTAGATTAGACCGATTTACAGATCACAATCACACATCCTTATTCACACCCTGGCCATCACTTCATCATTATCATAAAATAGTACTACATACCTTTGGCGTTTACTCAGCAATGGATACAAGGGGGGTGCGTTGGAACAAGGGTTTGTATGCAATGGTTGGAACAAGAGTTGGTATTCAATGCTCTGCCCAAAAATACCCAATTTTTGACACGATTAGCAGCATTGAAGTCGTCAACGATTACAAAGAGGGTTAAGGTAGACAGAGTTGATGGCAGCCGCCGGCGTCCTTGTGGTGGCGGCAGAATCCCACTTAGCAACAATTCTTGCCCCATGTTGACTTATTTATTAATACCGTATTAAAAAAACACGGTCCAGCATGTCCAAAAAAAATATTATATATCCCAAAAACATCGAGATAGAGGGGACTCTAGTAATGGGCTTTTGGACATTTTTCTCTTATTCTGCTCCAAGTAACTAGGGGATAAATACAGGAGGATGAAGGAAGAGTGATTGTGGGAATGAAAGAGAGGCAAGTGTAAAGGTAGGTGATAAGGTGGATAGGAGGACAATGGGTTCATGATGCTTGGCTTTTTCGTACACAATACAAACCCTACGTTCGCCTAGAAACAATCTCCACCCTACAAATAACAAACCATCCCCTCAAAGTCAGATCCTTATTCATAATTTCTTTCCCTTATTACAAATACATGTTCTCATTCCGTGCCTGTCGTGTGCATTCGTTTAATCGTCTCTCGTTCTCTCGCCTTTGTTCCGAACTCGTTGCAGGTTGTGGTAATAGGGTAGGTTGATTGTGGGCCTTTGTTGGTTTGCCAATAACACGCTCCATGAAACCCTCGAGTGTTTGGATGTGTGGGTGGGTGGGAGTGGAGGGTCTTGAGTCGTAGGGAGGTTGAGGCGTGAGATATTAGTGAAGCTGGAAAGGTAATAGGGAAAGAAAAGGCTATGCGTGGTATGTGAGGGGGTGAAAGGCGCCAAAAAAAAAAAAAAAAAAGATTGATGCAAAAAGAACGAAGAAAAAGAAAGAAGGTGGGAGAGAGAGGCCCAATGTATACCTTTCCCTCCTGGCGAGTGGCAATGCGTTGTCGTCATATCATTGACCATTGTGTTTGTGTCAAGAAACATGCAAGCGTAAGGGATCAAAAGCATTCGCCTTCAAAGGCGTCCTATCAGTCAGTCGCGTGCAATAGCATCGGCAGTTGGCCTACTTTCTTCTTTATCTCGACTCGGCGATATTCTGGAGAAGAGGGTTCTCTTGGCCATTGCACAAAAAAACACTGTCGTTATGTTCCCTCAACCATCAGCCTGACCATGCGAAAGACGCATTTCTTTTTTTTTTTTTTTCATCTCTTTTCAGATGAAAGGACCATAGGAAAAGCATTTGTTTCTTCCTTCTTTGATCTTTTCATAGATTACATGCATTTTGGTATTGTTATTTGTTGCTGCCGTTATTGTTTCGTGTTGTTCAAACAAGGCAATAGAGAAAAAGGGAGAGTATGCAAAGAGATAACGGAAGAAAAAAAAGGAGAATTGAGGGAGAGGCAGAGAAACATATAGTTCATTGACGGAACTCACCATCCAATGTTATCATTTCTCTGTTTAGTTGTCGACGCGAAGACGTATTATGTTCTATTCTTTGTTTCGCCTACGTTTCCCTGCTCCTGCTGATCATTCACTGGGAAGGGTTCTACCGCCCATCGCCCATACTATGAGTCCATTATTCCTTTGAGCATCGCTTAACGAAATGGTTAGAGCTGTTATGAAGAGTGAAAGGAGGGTTGTTCTGAAGAGTGAGTGAGTGAGGAGAGAAAGAGAGCTACGGTGTTCTCTTTGTTTCTTCTTTCTTGTCCATGAAGGAGGCTGCCATCAGCTGTTGCCGCGCTGGCTCATGATTTTCTTACTTTCCCTTCTTTTCATTTTCCTAGCAGCATCTCTCTGTCTCTGTCACTTATGCATCGTCTCCTCCTTCATCGACTTCAAACTGAACGTGAGGTGTTTCAAGGTCCCACTTGCAGATCTGGCATTCGAGGCGGTCGATGGTGAAAAGGGAAGACTTGTCTGTCGGGAGTGCAAGGTGGATAGGAAGGGTTGTGGATTCTGGGTGATGTATTTATCAAGAACAATTATTGACCATTCGCCTTTGAACCCTCGCGTGGGTCTCGCGCCTCTCAAGTATTAGTATACCGCATACCCTCTTTTACCATTTCTTCTTGAATTCCTTGAAAGATACGTCAATAAACGCATGGAGGTAGGCGAACGTTGCCAATTCTTGAAAGATGCATTCTGGGGATCGTACAGAGTGGCCCCTATTTACATCTCGTCTTTTCATTTTGAGAGTCAGTTTTCGTGGCAGCAAAAGTGCATTGAGGGTGGAGAAAGGCAATGAGAAAACCGGTCACGAATCACCTTACAAGGTGCCAATGGAAGCCATAACGTAAAACGTTCAAAACGAACAAGGATGGAGTAAGGAGACAAGGAGACAACGGCCTGTTAGCAGAAACACACAAGAGAGACGAACGACATGGTACTGCGACTCACTGCGAGATGACAAGCCTGTTTCGCTCGACCAACTGAATTGCTCATTCCTAATTCACTCGAATCCATGTCCTCCATGGCCGTCATTCACTTGTTCACCGCGTCTAAGCATTGTGTCTTGTACCTGTGTTTTATTCTTCAGACTACATAGCAGACTATGCTAATCGCTATGTAAGTAGACCCGCCGCTAGTCAGTGACCCTCTCCTTTCTCCTTCTCATTCCTCACCCAAAGCAAGAAAAGAAAGAGAGGTACCGTCCAGAGCGGTTGGTGCCTTAAACAAAAACAGCTTCCCCAAGCGTTACCAAACCTCCAAACGGCAACTTTTTTCTTGTTTCCCCATAACAACAGCATACGTGCTGTCAGTGCGCGTCACGGAGGGTTATCCTGTTTGTCCTGTTTTCCTTCTTCTGCCAATGGCATCACCAGGAGCGGAAAGGATGAGGGAAAGGGAGAGAGAAGGTCTGTCATGCGAGTGAGGGAAAAAAAATCCGGTGGCAAAAGTCAAAATTGATTTTTTTTTAATATAAAAGGGCAGACTCCCCCTCTTCTCTCTTCTTTTTCTTCACCCTCGCCCTTCCCAACAGGAATCGACTATTCAGGATGGACATTTCAGGATGGATGGATGGATATTTCAGGATGGACATTTCAGGATGGACATTTCAGGATGACAACACGACAATGCGACAACAGGCTACCACATTGTGATGTGCCTCGACAACACGAGAACGCGACGACAGGCTACCACATTGTGATGTGCCTCGAGAACGCGGGAACAGGAGGATAGGCTACCACTGTGTGATGTGCCTTGACAACACGACAACAGGATGACAGGCTACCACTTTGTGATGTGCCTCGAGAACGCGAGAACAGGATGACAGGCTACCACTTTGTGATATGCCTCGATAACATGAGAACAGGAGGACAGGCTACCACATTGTGATGTGCCTCGAGAACACGGGAACAGAATGACAGGCTACCACTGTGTGATGTGCCTCGACAACACGGGAACAGGACGACAGGCTACCACTGTGTGATGTGCCTTGACAACACGAGAACGCGACAACAGGCTACCACTGTGTGATGTGCCTCGACAACACGACAACGCGACAACACAACAAAACAGCAACACAACAACACGACAATACAACAACACGGCAACACAACAATGCAATGACACGACAACACAACAATGCAATTACACGACAACACAACAAAACAACAACACGACAACACAACAACACAACAACACGAGGACACAACAGTACGACAATACGACAACATGAGTACACAACAACACAACAACACAACAACACAACAACACAACAACACGACAACACAACAACACAACAACACAACAACACGACAACACAACAACACGACAACTCAACAACACGACAACACAACAACATGACAACACAACAAGACAACAATACAACAAAACAAGAAAACAACAACATGACAGTACAACAAAACAACAACACGAGAACACAACAATACGACAATACGACAACATGACAACACAACAACACAACAACACAACAACACAACAACACGAGAACCTGACTACCACATTGTGATGCATCTCAACAACACGACAAACAGGACAAACGGGACAATGAGAGATAAATAGGAAGGCGCAGCCACATTGTGACACGCCTTCCTCAAATTTGGGCAAGGATGATTGCTACTTTCGGCCGAATATAGCGTGAGTACAGTTCTGAGCCTGGGTTTGTTTTTCTAATCCCTTCAAGTCGACTCCGTTTGGAGAAGCTTTGGGGGGAGCTGTTTTTGTTTGGGGCACCAAATTGAACCCGCGACCTCCTCGTGGTGTGCCCTGGACGGTGTCTCTCTCTTTTCTTGCTTCGGATGAGGAGTGAGAAGGAGAAAGGAGAGGGTCACTGACTAGCGGCGGGTCTACTTACATAGCGATTAGAATAGTCTGCTATATAGTCTGAAGAATAAAACACAAGTACAAAACACAATATTTTGACGCGGTGAAAGAGTGAATGGAATGCGGCCATGGAGGAAATGGCGTCGAGTGAATTAGGGATAAACAACTCTGTTAGTCGAGCGAAACAGGCTTGCCATGTCGCAGTGAGTCGCGGTACCATGTTGTTTGTCTCTCTTGTGTGTTTTTGCTAACAGGTCATTGTCTCTTTTTACTTCTCTCTCCTCGGCCCTTGAACTTTTTACACGGTATGGCTTCCATTGGCACCTTGTAATGTGATTCGTGATCGTTTTTTTTGTTGCCACCAAATCTAAGGCGTCCAACCCTTCAAGAAAATGAGGAGATGTAATTAGGTACCGCTATGTATGATCCCCGGAATGCATCTTTCAAGAATTGGTATCGCTCGCCACCTCCATTTGTTTATTGACGTATGCTCCTAGGAGTTGAAGGGGGGGGGGAAGGTAAATGAGGGGTATGCGACATGCTAGCATCTGAGAGGCGCCAGCATGACACGAGAGTTGGAACGTGAATGACGATGCTTTGCCTCCATATCATTGATAATTGATATAAACGCGTTCATCTCAAAAAAATCTTCATCGACGAGTAAGGGATCAAAAGCATTTGCCTTCAAATGAGCCCTGTCAGTCAGACGCGTAAAATCATAACGGCAATAGTTTTTCTTCGTCATTTCGACCCGGTGATATTCTGCACGAAATCGTTCTCTTGACCATTGTGCAAGCACTTCTCTTTTTTATTTTTCTTTTTCCTTTGTGACCTAGTTCATGAGAAGTAAAGATAAGGAGTCAAGGCGGATGTGAGTTAGGGTGCGTGAAGCATGTATGGTGAATTAAGAAGAACTAATGTGGGAAGAGGCGAGTCGCGTGTCTGTTTTGGTATGAGAAATTTTTGTGGGCGCCACGCCAGTAATTTTACATGTTTTGTTTATTTGTATGTGTAATCTTCTGTGCGAGCCTTCAAGAGCAACAGAAGGAGACGGAAAACAGAGAGAAGGCACGAAAGAGGAGAGAGTATGATCCTACTCCATTCACGTCGCATAAGCCTTTTCAATTTTCTGTTTCCCTTCCATCCATTCTCCTCTGCCGACCATATCCTTTCGTCTCGTTTGTCATTTATCCCGTCGTACAAAAAAAGGAGGAAGCTTGAGAAAGGAGGAACGTCTCTGCACCCCCTCCACCCCCCAACCACCGCCCTTTCATTCTGTTGTGTTAACTTCATTGTCATCCAACCGTTGCCATATTCTGCTCATTCTCCTTCTCCCACTCCCATTCTTCTTTCCTACTTTTTCTAAGCGCCTTGCCACGGCATCACCCTTCTCTCTTTTCGACCGGTTGATAGCGAACATTTGCATGCTTTTGCTCAGCAAACACCCTAGTGGATGTTATTCTTTCATTTCGCTCTTGTGTTATTGGCCCAGTCAAGTGACAAAAAAATAAGCTACACCCTAGGATCCATTCAGGCTGATACGTAGTTCCACGCTTGAAAGGACTTGTACATATGCCACGACGCAGGGAGGTTATAAGCTCTTGAGGTCCTGAGGCGTGTGTATATGGCTGGACTGGCGACCTGGTCGAGTGAGATGGAGAAAAGGAGGCAGTAGCACATGACGTAACAGAAGAGCTTGCCTTCAATGCCAAAAGAAAGCGAAGTATAGGTTAGGGGGGATTAGCACTGAAAGTAAGAAATGAAAGAAGAAAAGGCAGCAAATCAAGGGAAAATACAGCGAAAGTTGACCACAATCCTCGAAAACACGAGCGCCATGAATGATTTAAAGGGAAAGAGATTTTAAGCGCGTCAGCTCAACGCATACCAAACCTCTCCCCTTCGTATGTAAACTTCTCGTCATCTCATTCTTCTCGGTCTTCTCCTCGTTCTCCTTTCTCAGCCCCCCAACCGGAACCTTCTTCGTCTCAGTCAGTAATGGATGTATTCATCAGTTGTGATCCCCGTGTGTTCCACTCACAACACGATATTTCACTTCCTACCATGAGGGGCTAACCCTCTTTCTTTTCCTGCACCATTTTCAGATAGCGGGCGTCATTTTTCATTCTCGTGCGTATCAAGTGAAGTGAACGACATGCTTGCCTAAAAAACGTCGATCGTTGTCTTTCTGTCAGTTGAAGGGGATTGAATAGCTCTTCGTGGGCCATTGGGGTTAAAAGAGTATCATCACCGCCCGCTGTTAATATTTGAGGCGTTCCTTTCTTGCTTACGCGTGAAGAAAAAGAATCGGCTACAGAATCAAGAGAACAGTGTATTGCCGTATCATCGTCGTTTATTTTGAACGACCGTCAACCTTCTTACCATCTACGAAGACGATCAAAACCTCTGAATCATCCCACCAAGTTTAGTGGCACTAGTAACCTTCAACGCATACTCAGGCGCACTAACAGCATACCCCATACTACAACATGGGTTCCTAAACTCCATACTCGACTCCCTCGTCCCGCCCGCACCTACATGGACCTCCTTCGCGTCCATAGCCCCAACAATCTTGTTGACATTCCTTTCAGAGATTCCAGCACCAGGAAGGATGATAATGCGGCCTTGAGCGCGGTTGGAGAGTTGGACAAGGGTGTCGAGGCCTTCGTATGCGGACCGTTCACAGCCGCTGGTGAGGATGCGTTGGATGTTGCCAATGGAGATTATGTCTTCGAGGGCTTGGAAGGGGTCTTTAACCATGTCGAACGCTCTGTGGAATGTTACTGTTTGAGAAGGATCGAGGGAGAAAGGGATTAGTAATAGGTCTTAATGTCATATCATTTCTTCCGCGATGATCGATGAAACAATTCGCATCGGAGGTGAGATCTTACCTAGCATAGGCTTGGCAGCTTCCACAAGTCTACACAAAAAAATTCAGCAAGTGTCATTAGCATAATTAAACGTCTTGGTTTGCCATGATGTCGAGCGAGACAAAAAAAAAAAAAGTCGGGCGAGCGCGGTACCTTGCAGTGCGAATTTTGTCTACTGATCCATCAGGAAGCAGAACACCAAAAACGACACCCTCAACTTTCAGCGTGTGGCACAGCTACATCGAATTTAGACAAGAAAAAGAGTACGCTTGCTGTTAGGAAATGGTATATGTGAGGTGTGTGTACAAAGTGACTGCAATCGGCAACAAACAAGGGAGTAAGTTACCTTGATATCCTCGAGCATGGCGTCGAATTCGTCGTCATCATAGCAAAAATCTCCACCCCTAATTGACAAAGTCAAGACGGTAGAGTATTGAATGGTTGGCAGTGGTTAAAAGCTCCGATTTGATCAGGATATCAGATCAGTACCTGAGATGAACAAGATTTTGAGTCGATATTTACCTTGGACGGATCATCACCTATGATTTGAAGCGGGATAACGGTCAAACGGGAAGGACGCAGAAGGATCACATATCAGTATTTTCGATCTGGTACTCGATAGCTTGGATCTTGTCCAGCTGCACGTTTGGCATTGTTGGGGATCAAAGAGATCTGCGTGGGTATTAACATTTCAACTTCTCCCGGCATACCATGATGGGAAGGGAGGTCTTTGCCTTGACCGTCTTGATGAGTCCTATTTCAACGAAAATCGATGAAGGGATGCACGAGTCGGTCAGTCGGTTACAAACAAAGCAGTGAGGGATGCAATGCGGCAGTACACACACAGATACGGCGGATCAAAATAGCGAAACAAATCAATTGAGTATTAATTCATTCCAACGTCAATCGCGGTAATGCTCTCAATTTTCTTCCTCCGTCCGGGTAAAGAAATCGCAAAAGTAATCAGTCGAACGAAGCGCGTGAATAGGATAAGAATGACATACCTGCAGAAGGCGTGATCCCACCCTCCATCAACCCCGCACAGAGCTCAATTCTCTTTCCTCCAGTCTTTTCTACGAATGGGTGTCCAAAAAAAAAAATGTGAGATGTTAGGGGGTTGCCGCTGTTCAAGAATAAAATTGGTTATTTAGTTCAATTGAACCACTTGGCCCTTCAAAACAGCCACATCTAGGTGATGAAGATACATTTGCTGGTGGCTCCCAATTGATTTGGATGTACCTGCGATGATGGCCGAGGCGACGCTGTCAAGGCATACCTATGAGAGCGGAAGAATGGACGGTGAATGAAAAAGAGATTAGAGGCTGTGTTTGTCATTCAAAAAAAAAAGAAGCGATTGATGTCCTGCTGGACATTTTTTTCCTTTCTTCTTCCGTTGTCCTTGCAGCCCGATGAGAGTAGCGTAGCTTACCTCGAAGAGTGGCGCGTGTGTTGTGTTCGTGGTGATCGACATAGTTGATTGTGAGTGGTGAATGTGTGTGTTGATGGGGTGAAGTGTTGGAGGGTGTTTCCAAACCCTGGGAAAAATTACCGCGCGTCCACGTGACAACAACCCAGAAAGCGAGCCCTGATTGGCCAATTGATTCGAACAACTGAACGACAAAAACGAGATGGAAAGGGGTGAAGGGAAGGAAGACGATGTTTGTGGTTGTGTTTTGAGTTGGAGTTAGGGAAAGGAATGGGAAGGTGGTCAATGTAAAGGAGCAAATCAGATTGGTCGATTCGTGGTGCTCAGACGAGCTAACAGCGTATCATTGTGGCGCATGGTCGATCTACTGGCCACAAAATCTCGATCTGGAGGAAACATTAGTGCTCTTGTCCGGTTGAAATGCGCCTATTTTTTCTTTCACTTTTGGGCTGAAAAACAAAAACATTCATCATCGGGTCGAGTGACAGAAGAAAGTGAGCTCTCGAAAGAGACAGGAGAGACAGGAGAGGCAGAGAGAAGTGGGTTGGGTGCGTCGAGATGGACCCAATTTTTTTGGTCTCTCCTTCATCCATGTCGTACAAACCAAACAAAAGAGAAAAGAAGAAAAAGCGCGCATTCTACTCCACGACACTGCGGGACAAGAGAGGAGAAATGGTTCAATCGAGAATTCTTGTCACCTCAATCCCCTGTCTCTTCTTTATTGCATTTTACCCGCAGGGTTTAAAAAGAGTCGAGTGACTCGACTCGAAACTCATGGTTGAGCGTGAAAGAAACGAACAAGTTGCCCGACGGGTACAATTTCATGCAACCCTGCCCATTCCAGCAGGCTGAGTAGGGCGAGAGAGTGTGGTACAGCTGCGTAGAAAAATTGGAGAAGCGGGACCTCCTCTCCTCCTCTGACCAAGGAAGGACGAAGGGCACAAGAAAAATGTCCGAACTCAAAACGGCGCTGGAAATTTTGGTCGTGTGAGGACAAAAAAAAAGGTGTCAAACGGGAGATGCTTCCTTTTTTCATATCGTCACTTTTATTCTGTGGACCACGGACACACAAAAAAAAACTCGCACACACGCATTCAACCATGTCACTATTATTAATCCTTACCCCAAACAAACAAACAAACAAACAAAGACAAGAAAGATTAGGGAGTGTTTGTTTAGTGAATGTGTGTGGAATGGGCGACACGGACAGTTGCATGAATGAGATAGAACGAAGGCTAGACAAGCCAATGAAAATAAAGGTAGATTTATTCAGGCACGGAAGATAGGTCGAGATGGACAGGCCGACTGTGAGATCTTGTTTTTCTGCCTCTCTTTTTCCCTTGGTTCCGTTTGAGTTGAGAAAAATAGATCTATTGGAAGGTTGTTCTCTCGCAAAAGGAGAGTGAGAGAGTATTATGAAATGCAAGGGCACGAGAGCGAACATGTATCGATACAAACAAACAAAGAAAAGAGCGAGAAGGAAGCAGAGATGTATGAAAAATGAAGAAGCAGAGCAGGGAATTGGAGTCGAGACCATTCGCCAGATTATAATGGACAGACATTGGTTATTTAGCATTGCCATTACCATTGGCCATTAGCGTTGGGTATCAAAGGTATTTCCGATTGCCATTGTTGTTGTTGTTAAGTATCAACAACATAGCATGGAGAGCAATGTCAGCACGTAAGTTGTAAGCAAACAAGTAAGCATGGCCCATGGGGGACACAGATGGATATACAACATCAGTTGAGAGCGATGAGTCTGATGAAGCAAGTCGAGTCCACCTCGTTTTTGTATAAAAGGCAAAGTACTGGCGATGGCAACCCTCCTTCCTTCATCCTTTTCACCCACTTTGTTCTCCTTAATCCTTAATCCTTAATCCCCTTTCCTTTTCTGCGTCCTTTACCTTCTTTACGTTGTTGTTTTTTTCCACTGTCGTTTTCATTCTTTCCTTGCTCAGTTATGTCTGTTTTCTTTGCTCGTTTGTTTTCTTTATGTCTTTTCTAATACACAACAACTAATAGCATAATAGTAATAGTAACCATTTTTTTTTGGAGTAATAGGTTTCTTACCGTGTACCCTTTTTTTTTTTTGCTTTGGAAAAAAGTTTCCGTCCCCTCTTGTCCTCCCTCTCTTTACCTTTTTTTCTGCTCCTCCACTTCTTCCCTTTTCTTTTTCTTTTACCAGTCAGATCTCGCCTTTCTTTCTTTGCATCATCCTTTTTCTTTCAGTACGCTTATTCCTTCCTTTTACTTGCACTAATCTCGCTCTCATCAACAACCACACTCCATACACACCCACACACACATATACTCCATGGACAAATACCAGGTACACCACACACACACACACACACACACATCTCCCCCCACTTTGCCACCAAATGAGAGAGCAACACAGACTCATGACACCAACTCCAACTGCGTGCCGTCACATTCGTGCCTCTTACTCACCCTTGACCTTTCCTTTCTCTCTTCACGTCTTGCTCACGCTGTTAGAAAATCGAGAAACTGGGTGAAGGTATACCTTGCCATCCTTCACTTTTCAACATCTCATACGAAAAGAACTCAAACGTTCTCTTCGAGGCGAATGCTTTCACAAAGAGGAACAAAAACACTCCAGGAATCGGCGCACGGATGAACTTGACGCCAGTGACTCCACTGCACCCTTTGCCCTGACTGTCGCTGTCAATGAACCAACAAGTCTTCAGTGGACTTTTTCGTCTCCTTCAGGAATGAACAGAACTAGCTAGATCACTCTCCTTTCAGGATCATATGACACACAGCGTCAAAAGTCCATTCGAATCCCTTTCTCTTTTCTCGGCGAGGTGTACTGGATGCACCATCTCGCATAACTGATCCCGAGGACGACACGACAAAAAGGAAACACTCAAAACCCCTGCAGTTTACGCCTCGTCTTCTTTACCCTTTTTTTCAGGCCACTGGAGCACTTATATTTTTCTTCTCTCGTACTGCAGGTATACATTTGTTTACCGATCCCTTCCTCATTAACGTTTGACTCAATTCCACCCCTTTAGGCACCTATGGTATCGTCTACAAGGCCCAAAACAGGGAAACGAACGATGTCGTTGCCCTCAAACGCATTCGTCTGGACAATGAGGAAGAAGGAGTATGTCTCTCTGCTTCACAGTAATGGCATCTTTCAATTGCATTCCATGTTGACAGCACCAAAGAACTAACGTAGTATCTTTGTTTATAACCCCTTTGATGTCAATAGGTTCCCTGTACAGCTATCCGTGAGATCTCACTTCTCAAGGAACTCAAACAACCCAACATTGTCAGGTGAGTTGCCGAGCGCACAAGCATCAGAGGGCCGAGAGCGAACGATCAAAGCAAAGAAAAAGGATAGAGGCCATGGCGGTCGTACTGTTGACCCAATTGACGGGATGCGCCTTGTTGTCTTTTCTATTGTGGATGGTTGTACATGTCTGGACAACGCTTGGTCATCCGCGATCGTTTCACTCACACGCCACCTCTAATTTCTCTTTTCGTTTGTTGACATTTTTTTTGCACGATAGATTGTACGATGTACTGCACACAGAAAAGAAGCTTACCCTGGTCTTTGAGTTTCTCGACTCTGACTTAAAAAAGTTCCTCGACACATACAGTGGTGACATTGACGTGCTGACGATAAAGGTACCAACCACTACGCGTGAATCAACTTGATTACACTGAACACTAAAGAGCAAAATCAGTTGCATTCAACTGAGACTCTATACTAACATATGTATTCCTAATGTCTCCTATAGCAACTAATGTATCAATTGATGAAGGGAATCGCATACTGCCACGAACACCGAGTCCTGCATCGAGTACGTATCATATCACGACATTGAGCAAGGGATGGACATGCTAATCGATCTGAGCATTTTTTTGGTAACATCTTGAGATGCAGAGATTAACCTCCCGCCTTATATGAACCCATGTCTCTCCAAAATAGGATTTGAAGCCTCAGAACCTGTTGATCAACAAGAAGGGCGACCTCAAACTGGGGGATTTTGGACTCGCACGAGCATTCGGCATCCCTGTCAGGAGTTACTCGCATGAGGTATGAAAAAGATAGCAGCAGCAACACACATTAGCATGCAGGAGACCCTCCCTCCTCTTCTGGTTTGCTCACTATTTTATGGGGTAAAAAATCGAGGACGGCGCTTTTCACGACTTCTGGGCCGATTCCTCACACTCGCCCGACCATGCTGCTCATGTCTGGGAGTAATAATCATGGAGAGAAAGGAGCATGATATAAGAAAAAAAGGCAGAGCGTGCGACTTGGTCAATTGGATGGACATGATACGATCTGCATATTTGTTTACCAACTCGAAATTGGACAAGCATGCATTTTTTTTCGTGCCTTCAGGAAAAATGTCAAGACAAACTACAACAACAACAAAACAACAAAACACTATGAGGAAACTAACATGCGTGCCTTTTCGATTTTTTTTTTGATGGGTCAAAATATTTTTAGGTTGTGACGCTGTGGTACAGAGCACCGGATGTGTTGATGGGCTCGAAGCAGTATTCGACTTCCATCGATATCTGGTCTGCAGGATGTATCTTTGCCGAGATGGCCTCGGGAAGGCCACTGTTCCCTGGATCATCGGTCAAGGACCAATTGCTCAAGATCTTCAAGATCCTCGGAACCCCCACAGAAGAATCTTGGCCCGGCGTGTCCAAGTTACCAGAATATCGCCCCGATTTCCCGACCTATAGTCCGATCCCCCTCGAGAACCTCGTCCCAAAACTTGATGCTGCCGGTATCGATCTTCTCTCTGTAAGTCTTCATTGTTCAATGAGTATATGAGAGCGCATCGCACTCCGACAACCACAATCGATGGGGATGCGATGTCCAGTTGGTATTACAGTTTTCAGGACAGCAGGATTCAGCAGGATTCAACAGGGTGCGACGACAACAGACATTGGCATACACATGCCCATCGTCTGTCGTCGTCGCTTTTTGAGCACAGGACTTCCTCGCGTTGGGGTTAAGGATAGACCAGGAAAGCAGAGGGAGAGCAGGATGAAGGAAATCGATCGCAATCGAGTGTATGCGTTTTGTGAGTGGGTGTGTGTGGGTGCGTGAAAAAGACAGGGGGTTGTGCGAGCGATGGCGCATAACAATGAAGGCGATAACAGGCGAACAATAACAATGACAGCATGGATAAGGGTGGGCGATGGCTCGTGAGGACGACCACTGGACAAAAACCGACACGAGCAGCCAACGCTATGGCAGGGATGAAAGAGAGCGAGGAATTGAGAGAGCAGGATGGCCACTGTAAAAGAGGATATTTATGCGAGGCAAACACACCTCTGGACAGGACAACCACACTGTGCAAGGACTGAGCAAGCACAGAGCAAAAGAATTGAGCAAAGGCCTAAGCAAGGCAGGATATGACAAGCAAGGCAGAGATTATCATGGCATGAGGCTTGCGTCTTGCGTCTTGGTGGACTAAGCCAGAGAGGGGGAGTTTGGTCGTGTTGGTTTTTTGTTGTTGCGTTGGTTGGCTGATTGGACATGCGGTTCTGCCAGGAAGAGTGGTGGTGCGTGTGTTGGATTGCGCTTTATTGAGGTTTCTTTGTTTTCATTTCTCTCTCCATATTTTATTTGTGAGCGAAATGTTGGAGAAGAGCAGCCAGAGCAGAAGGAACGTGGATGGAATTCTTGGAGGAGAAGCAATACGCGACACTGATCTCATTTCCATCCTTTCCATTTTTTTTATTGATTTTTCCTGCTTTGTGAACCACCCCTAACATTACTTTTATTCTTGATCTTGTTTATAGCGCCTTGTAACATACAACCCAGACAGGAGGATATTTGCTGACGCAGCGCTCGCTCGTACGTGTCTTGCATTCAGCCTTGTAATGGACCTTGTTATTTAATACTTTGGCGCTTCTTTTTCCTCACTGACTAACGATGGCATTCATTTTTATTTATTTTTTTGATATTAGATCCTTACTTCGACGAGATCCGCCGACGCGAAGGAGCAAGTGGACAATAATAAGCAAGGGAACGTAGGATGAACAAATACAAAAATATCCAAGCGACACGTTCCACATCCTCCCATCCCCTTCCTTTTTCCTCGCTTTCGCATGTATACCAGACTCATCACTCTCGCTCTCACCCTCTCTTCTATCCTCGCTCCTCCTCCCTCCTCGCACAAAAAAACATTAAAAGCTGGTCGATCTTCCTTTCACGTTCTGATTTCATCTGTGCAAACTGCTGTGATAGATACATTTACTGAAGTAAGTAATGGCCGTAGATGTTAACGAGATATGAGTGGGATCGAACTGATGGACTCTTGACCAAGGAGTCGGATTTTTTTTACTGTCCAGATTTTTGGTGCCGAGTATGGCGCGTGAAGAACTGGGGCTCCTTAGGCTGGTACCACTTCTGCGCGCTCCTACGTTTCATTTTCAAATTTGTATGTGTGAGCAAATTCCTTGCAACAAAAGAGCATCATGGGACAGAAAGCCAAAAAAAAAAAAAAAAAAAAAAATGAGAAGATGAAGGACTTACTTTTGGAGCTTGCGGGTGATATAAGAGAGATCGACCTTCAAGTAATCCGCCATGGTCACTCCAATCTCCGTGTTCTCGTGGTTCCCCGACAGCTTTCCATACCCATCTCCCGTCGCATACAAATTCACATCGACCCCCGTATGCCCCAATGTCGTCCACCCCAGATTGGCGCGCCGACTGATCGCATGGCCCAAGAAGGGCAAGACCTTCAAGTAGTCCGGATCCTTGTTCGCCAGGTACGCAATCTCCTCTGGCTTCGGGTCCGTGATCCCGAGTCCCTTGTCCAAGATCTGGGTCTTGACGAACTGTTCGCGGTCCTTCTGGGTATGGCCAGCGCTGCCAGGTTGGTTGTTGTACGCAAAAAGCTGGAGGGTGAGAGCTTCAGTTGACGCCGTGGCACGGTCAATGACCTCAGGCTTCCAGAGGTAATCCGGGTAAGTATCCGGGTCATCCTGGTACCCAAGCGTGAACCCTCCAGTCTCATGGTCAGAGGTCGAGATAACCAAGGTATCTGGGTTATCACGGACAAACTTCTGGACTACCTTAACAGTCTCATGATACTGCAAGATCTCATACGCATGCGACACAGGGTCGTTATTATGCGCGCCCATATCAATCCGACTGCCCTCAATCATCAGAAAGAACCCCTGGTTGGAATTCTTCTGGCCCGTGAGCATCGCCAGGGCGGCTATGGTCATCTCTTTCAACGACGGCTCCTTCTCGTTATCTCTATCAATCTCATAATTCATATGATCCAGATGAAACAACCCCATCGCCGGTAAGGGTAACGTGTCCCCGTTCTTCCCCGTTAGCGCCAAGAGATCGTCCTTGCTCTCCATAACATACTTCCACCCATAGATCTCCTTAGCCTCCTTGATCAGATCCCTCCCATCTGTCCTACACGATCCTTTGGTCGTGTTCGGCAAGAAGAAGCACCTCCCTCCACCCATCATCAGATCCACTTGTCGCAGGAGCGGGTAATCTCCAATCTGTTGCTCTGCAATCTCAGACTCCATGTCGCGGTGGATGACGTGGGCCGAGAAGGAGGCGGGAGTGGCGTGGGTGATCCTGGAGGTGACGACGAGGCCGGTTAGCATGCCTAGGTCCTTGGCTGCTTCCAGGATTGTACCGCATGGGTTTCCCATTGGATCGACTATGTTTTCAGGGGTGTGTGTTTGTGGACATATATGCGTTGGTTAGGGGGAACACATGAAGTGAGATGTTGCGAACGCATGAATAACACAACACACAGTCAACAAGGGGCATGTTTCCTTTGGCGGGACTATTTTCTTGTGGGAAAAATATCTTTGCCACCCTCTGCGGGAAAACAACAACAACAACAACAACGATTCTCAAGGCCCAACTCATGCTTATCCTATTCGCCATGTCTCTACTTTTTCACACAAAATAGAACACATCCTTACCTCCAATGGCGCCGTTAAAGGTCTTTATAGCACAAGCGAAGGCGGTGGCACCAGCAGCAGAGTCAGTAACAAGCGAGTCGCTACTCCGGGTCCGCGAAGCACCAATCAACATCTCGTCCAAGGATGTGAGTTTGTCCTCGGTGAGGTTATTCTTGTACTGGTAGAAGGATCGTCCGTAGGTCTGGGATGCGGGTCCGAACCCGTCCGACACCATCATGATCACATTACGACTCCTCCCTATTCAATGGTAAGGTTAAGGAAACGTGCAAAATGTTCGTCAGGATGATTGTCTATAGGGGGGAGGTGGGGAGGGGTCCAATTGCAAAAAGGAAAGGGACCACGTTCTTGAAGGGTAAAATACTGCCCAACGACTTACCGAGGGACATTTTGGCAAAGTAAAAGGTGATGGTGACGGCAGACGAGGTCAACACGATCGCCAAACCCAGGCATAAGATCATACGTGCTCGCTCCTAAGGCCATATACATATGAAAAGAATAACGGTTAGCGTCAATTGAAATATTAGACAAGTCATAATGTCAACAAGAACGACACTTGTCGACAATCGCTACCAGAGAGAATGAGCAGAAAGAAGTTGGGTGAGGTCATTTACCCTGCGGATGTGCTTGGCCTCCTCTTTCCTCAACAGCTCGCGCTCCTCTAAATGCACATAAGGAACAAAAAGTTATATGTCCAGTCAGTGCTTTGTTTCTTTCATTGCATTCCTCCGAGAAGTTTTGTCCAAAGTGCGAAGAAGGTGAATTGATTGCATGTGTAAAAAAGCTAACCGTCATCAAACTCATCTAGGGGGTTCTCGTTGGCGAGGAGTGGTGCAGTCTCTCGTCGCGCCATTGTGTTTGCTGCTGCTGTTGTTTGTGGTTAAAAGAGAGGAGGAGAAGGGAAGGTGGGCAGGAGGTGTGCGGGAAAAGAAGGTGTTCTTTTGAAAGAAAAAAAAAGCACATCAATGCGCCCAAGATACTCTCAGCACCCCTTAACCCTGATTCCAACATATTGAGAACAAGAAGAAAAAGCACGCGTCGTGCTCAAGAAACGTAGCTGACCATGGACATACTGTGCTTGGACCTGCTACTTCCATTCTCAACATCAACGGTCTTTCTCTAGTCTTTCTCAGAACCGCTTAGTAAATCAAAATGAGCCCAGTTTTTGCGTTTTCTATTTATTTACAATCGTTGTTTCTTTGGAGTCAAACGACGAGGGTTACCGTCGCCGACGGTAGACGCGTTTGTTCCGCATCAAAGAGGTCGTACAAGCCATAGCGCCGACAAGCTTTAGCAGCTTTGTCTAGAAATTATGTCCCTGGGGCGAGGCAAGATCGTACTCGCTATGATACCCGTCCGACACTGCTTCCCAACTCCGAGGCACGAATTCCGCATCGTCACCATTATCATCGTCTTCCTCCTCGCCTTCTCCGCCTTTCTGATCCTCTCCTGCCACCACTTCCTCGTACACCATCTCATCGTCCCTCGCTACTTCCTGATATTCCTCCCCATCCTCGTTTCCTAAATCCTGCTGTCGCTCCACCCGACGCTCTTCTTTCTCCCTCAGAATACTCTCCTGTGGATCTGGCCTTTGGTGCTCGTGGAGGTAGTAGCTTGTCTCTGAAACTTCCGACAAGTCTTCTTCATCTTGTTCTTCTTGTTTCTCGTACTCCTCATCCACCAAGACCATTACTGTCATGGGCGAGGCAGGGAGTAGGGGCTGGGGCTGAGGCTGCGATTGAGGTTGAGCCTGGAGCCGAGGCCGAATATTCGATAGCGTCGCCGATATTGGTGCTGGATTCGAATGTGGCAACTTGGAGGTGGAGGGAAGGGGTGTGAAGTGTTATGGCGGCGAAAATAACAAGAGGACAAGAAGAAGGAAAGAGAATGGGAAAGGGAATGATTTCAGATAGGACCGAAAAGGGCGCGTTGAAACACTTGACGCGGATTATGCTTTCCTTCGTTGTTATGACAGCGACCATCACACCTCGAACAAATATCGTGCACAAGCAAATAAATTGAATGCGTTTATTGACTAACACTAACAAAAGGCGTCTTCTCGAATCGCTGGTTATTCAGGTCGATGATTTTGATCGCCGGCAACGTTCCTACAGCCTCAGACACCATAATCTTGAGCGTATCCGTAGGAGCCACCAAATCCCCACGATTTTTGTTCTCGCTGCGACACCATCCTGGCAAAAGTTCGGATGGAGGAGTAGAGGTCGTACCACCAGGAACATCAAGTTCTGTCTCCAATCCTTCTTGTTCCTCATCCTGGGGTTCGTTGTCACTCTCATCCGGTCCAGCAAACGGGAACCCAACCAAGGTCAACCACTCCAGAGTCCGGCACGCCTTCAATCCTTTCAAAAGAATCGACGCGTGGTGCTCCTTGCACAGCCTGCTGTCGTTGTACATCGAAAACTCCCGAAGTCGAGTACACTTCTCCAGAACCTTGCTCACATTCTCGAACGAGTGAACAATGTTATGATAGTCGCTGAGGCTCACGTCCAAGATCTCGAGTCCATTACGGTGCTTGACCAGGGCATCCGCCAGCTTCGCATCAAACTCCCATCGGTTTAACTCAAGATGAACCAAGTTCCCGGGCGCACATGCTCCTGCGATGAACGAAATTCCGTCATATCCAGGCATCGGAACTCTGCCACTGTCGAACGCCGGCATCATATTTAGGATCGATCGCAAGTTGGGACAGGTCTCCTTCAGGTTCTTACCCAATCGCATACCAAGCTCGTTGTCAACAAATCCAATCTTGAGCGTTTCCAGTGCTGGGAACGACCGGACCAGGTTACAGACTGTGCTTCTGCTTGTGTCGCTCCACTTAACCAACAGGTGAAGCGTCTTGACCTTGGGTAACAACAGTGACCGTCCTTGGATGAGCTCAACAGCTTCAGCCTGCTCCTCGTCCGTCAACAAATCCAGAGACGATGGGTCCAGTCCGTTCCACTGTTCGTTCATATGTGGTGTCCTGAGTACAATAGACCACTCCCCCAACTCGACTTCCTCCAGTGTATTGGCGTTGTTGTGCAGGATATGGTGCAAGTAGACAGGGTTGATAGCCCACCCCTTCAGTCCTAGATACCTCAGCTGCCGAAGCGGAAAAAGCACCCTCAGGTCCTCAGGCTCGTTCAAGAACTTGATATACCGCTTCCACCTCATAAGCTGCAACCCAGGGTTGGCCCGAATCAGCTGCCCTGCATTCGTAACATCAACGCCGTGAGAAAGCCTGAGTTCCCGAAGCCGAGTACACGCGAGTTGAAGCTGGTTCAGACTGTACAAGTCGTGAGGTTCATACCGAGACAAGTCGAGATAGCGAATATGGATACTGTGCTTTGTGAAAACATCCGCAGCAACGTCCCGAAACCGGCAGAGGGTGCCTCGGTAGGAGGAGCTGAGGTATTTCTGGGATCGGTCGTAAGGGTAGGCGCAGACGTTCCAGAGGAGCGGGGTGAGGGTGGTGTAGAAGAGTCGGTTGACTGAAAGGGCGGCGACGAGGTCCTTTGGTTTGAAGAGCCAGACGACGACGTCATAGCGTTGTTCACGGGGCACCCACAGAGGGATGTTTTTCCCGACGATGAGGACGATCTCTGGAAGGGAGAGTGGATGAGTCTCCATGGTGGTTGGAATGAGAGGTGAGGAGAAGGTGATGTAGGTTGGTGAGGGCTACAGTGGAAGTTGAGTGAAAGAAAAGCAGGACTTCACTCTCCCCGCTCTCTTTCTATTCGTTAATCGCCCCTACCCCCTAATTCTCCATTGCATTTTTCAATGCAAATTGCCTTTCACTGCGATCGTTGTTTTATTTTTTTATCAGCGAGAATTGGCCTTTTGTTGACCGTCAATCGTCTCTTCATGCTTCAGGGTGAGATAGAAGAGCACCATTATCTTCGGAACGACCCAACTACCATCCTTTTTTTCCGCCCTTCGTGTCAAATGAACTCTCACATCATTTGTGCACGCGAGACGGACACATTCAAGGGGTCACCAGACATGTGACTCTCGTTTGTACTAACTTTGCGCATGGGCCATTTTCTCTCCAATCCAAAAGCTCATCTTGTCAAAGATGTTCACGACAATGGTTTATCTTTCATTCAAACAATAGAAGTGAGCAAACCTTCAAACACCTCGTTGGTCAACTCAACTCTCTTCAACGTAAGCATATCCTTCACAGCCTCAAAAACCTTCGTCCTCTGGCAATCACTAACTGCCCACAGATAAAGAAGAGGTTTGGCACGATCCCATAAATCTCAAGACGTCTGGTGTTGCTCGCTGAGACTCAAGTTTCGAATGGATCGCAGGCGCGGACAGTGGTCTCGGAGGTTCTTACTGAACAGGAGGTCATCCTCGCTAAACAGTCCATGGACCACCAAAGGTTTCCAGGGCTGGAAAGGCGCGCACCAGAATGTGTACAGGGCCAGAATCCCGCGGGTACATAGAGTTCGCACGGAAAGTCTTGTTCTTTGAGAGTAGAAGGCGTCGTACTGGGATCAACGCTGTCACATTTGCCGCCTCGTGTTTCGTTGTTCATACTGTTGCAAAAAGATGTGGTGGCTAGGCAGTGGCGGCGATGCCATAGGTTAGCAGTCAGTAGACATAGTATTAGTAGTGCGCCGAGCCCTCTTGTCTCTTTGTCCTTTTACACATCACTTCTTGTACGACAAGAGTTTCGCTGGCGCGCTGCAGGTAACAACCCCCTCTTTGATAATATGAATAGAAGGTTCTTTTACACATCACTTCTTGGACGAGAGCAGTATTGACAAGAGTTTCGCTGGCGCGCTGCAGTGTATCGTTTCGTGTGACTCTTTAGGAACCTGTTATCACTATCTCCGACTATCAACCCCCCCCCCCCCTCAGCCTACAACCCCTCCCCCCCCCCCCCCCCCCGTACCAATTGAGGACTTAACAGCGGTCCTACAACTCTGGCCTTCGACCCTCTCCCCTGAGTAACAATACGTGGCCCATCCAGTAACGTAGCACCTCCCTCCGGATCGAGCTCCTAAAGATAATCAGCATCGTCTCCAAGATCTGGCAGAGAAACATCGAACGTGAGGGATACTCTTGATGGCGATGTGTAAAAAGGATATCCTGGTAGTAGTTGTCGGCTGCTAGTTCCCCGGTGTAGACTTTTATGACTGGTTCGGCGTAGACTTCCCAAAGGAGTTGGGGGAGTGTGCCGTGGAAGAGACTGTTGACGGCGATAGCGGAGGGGATGCCATGGGTTTGAAGACCACGACTAGTCCGTAGAGGGGTCGTTCCTCGAACTGGTTTGGAATGAGTCCGCATTACGGAGGGATGAAAAACGAGAAAAAAAACAATGCCTTGTCCACGATCCCATCAGCCACACGACGACAAAGTAGCAAAAAGAATTTGGCGAAGGCGTAAGAGGACGGCGCTGTTTCCATCAGTTCATTCCTCTCTCGGCTCTTCACATCCTTCTCTCATCACCCTCACTTTTCATTAACTTCACTGGTTCCATTCACCGGCTTAATTTTTTCATCACTTGTGCCACAACATCACACAACTCAACTCAACTCGACAAAACAAAAAAGGCGCCGCCGCCACGTTCAGACCAAGTGTGTCTCGCAAGAAAGGAGGACCTCCATCTTTGAGGAGACGTGAACACAGCCATTACCATCGAATAATTGCTAACCTGTTGACTCCAATCATCCTGTCTTTGTAATAGCTCCGTCCTCAGATCACCCTTACACATCACCAGCATTCGACAGTACAAGGACATCTTTGAGTCTTCCTGGTAAGACCTTGTACTTTTTCCACCAACAATTGAACCTCACTCTCAGATCGTTTCTGTGAACAACGCCTTAATATTACGCCCTTTAGGTTTCTCGTATTGCACCTTAGTTTCAATCTACTCTCCAAGTCCAAGCATTTCAAGCGAACCAAGTAACCAGTTCAAGGTAACGCCCAATGTTGCTATCTTTTCATGCTAAATAATTGACTGATGATTATAATGGCTAATAGCGAATACTTCCTCTTTACTATCTGCCCATAGATCCAACGATGCCTTTTTCGTCACTCCGAGACAACCCTTTATTTCAGTCTAACCTGGTCATCCCCGGTGCTTCTACTGACCAAGGATTGAATCACGATGGGGAACGGATCTTTTCTCAATTGGTCCGCGGTGCAAAAATCGGAAGAGTTGAGGTAGGGGACTCATCCAAGCCATCAGTCAAAAGACGAACGCACAACGTCGTCCACTTTTCGGCCGCCAATACCGCATGCCTCTTCCCAATCTCTCACCACGGCCATTATTCTTTCTTCTATCCAGGTTCAGGAACTTCCAACAGTCGAGGATGCCTTGCATACCTTGAGGGTGCAGAGGAGAGAAGAGTACAAGCAGGCTGTGTACATCGACCCTTTGGCCAAGCTAAGTATTACGGCATCGGACGACATGGACCTGTTTCTTCTGATGGACAAGGTCAACGAGTTCCTGGCAGGCGATGGGCAAGTGATGTTGATCCTCGGTGATTCTGGAGCAGGAAAATCGACATTCAACCGCCATTTGGAGTACGAACTCTGGCAGAAGTACAAACCCGGCGGTCGCATCCCATTGTTCATCAACTTGCCTGAACTCGACCGGCCAGACAAGAATCTGATCAGAAAACAGCTGCGATCATTTGAGTTTTCGGATGAGCAAATCCAGAACTTGAGACACCACCACCAGCTTTTGTTGATCTGCGATGGCTACGATGAGTGCCAGTTCCTGAGCAACTTGCATACCACCAACGAACTAAATCGGTCTGGACAACAGGACATCAAGTTGATTATCACCTGCCGCACCCAGTATCTTGGCCCCGACTACCGGGACCGCTTTGTGCCTAGCGTAGCTGGTGAGTATCATCGTCCTGCCAACGGCCGCTTCCATGAGGCTGTCATTGCGCCTTTCACCAAGAACCAAATCAAGACGTATGTCGAGAAGTACACCCCTTTCGAGCCGCAGAGCTGGGTCGCCAAGGATTACATGGACAGGCTGGAGACCATCCCCAACCTGATGGACCTGGTCAAGAACCCATTCCTGTTGACGCTGGCACTGGAGGCTCTCCCCGAGGTTGTCGAAGGAAGCCTCGATCTGTCTAGGTTCCGAGTTACTCGAGTGCAGCTTTATGACATCTTTGTCGACCACTGGCTTAGAGTGAACAAGCGACGTTTGCACGAACAGAGGCTGGACAAATCAGAACGTGAGACACTCTATGAATTACAGGAGGACGGGTTCGAGAAATATGCGATCAAGTTTCAAAGGGAACTTGCGGTAGAGATCTTCAAGAGACAAGGAGGGCGACCTGTTGTTGATTACGTCCACAAGCGTGACAACACTTCATGGAAGGCACCCTTTTTCGGCCCTGGAGTTGAAATTACGCTTCTTCGCAAAGCTAGCCTGTTGAATCGAGCCGGTACCAAATACCGTTTTATCCACCGATCAGTTCTCGAGTACTTTTTTTCTTGCGCCGTCTACGACCCCGCTGACAACGATGAAGCCGACACCGACACTGACGCTACCCCACTATCAATTGGCAACCAACCGCTGTCTCAGAGGAGTCTTGCTAATGAGCCGTCAATTATCCAGTTTCTAGCTGAGTGAGTTCAAACCCACTCCGTTTTCAAACAGACTCTTCTCGCTCTTCTTGAGCTGTCCAAGTTGGATCCTCAGGCCAGCCAGGCCGCAGCGAACGCCATCTCGATCCTAGTCAGAGCTGGCGTACAATTCAACGGAGAAAACCTTCGAGGTATCCGCATTCCGGGAGCTGATCTAACAGGAGGACAGTTCGACTCGGCGCAGCTATGTGCGTCCGACTTGACAGGCGTCAACCTCACCAAAGCTTGGATTCGTCAGGCGCATTTCAACGCGGCGCAAATGGACGGGGTGGAGTTTGGAGAATTGCCATATTTGAAGGAGCGATTGCCGATCGACTCGTGTGCTTTCTCGCCAGATGGAAAACTGCTCGCGTTCTGTGGCGATAACCATTCCGCCCCAGGACGGGATAAGATTAGCGTCTATGATACCGAGACCTGGAAAAGGATACATTCACTCCAAGGTCACGATTCTAAGATTATAGGCGTTGCCTTTTCACCTTGCAGCCGGTACCTTGTTTCAGGAAGCTGGGACGGGAGACTTGTACTGTGGAACTGTGAGACCGGTGTAGTGAACAGGATTATGGAGGGACACTCTGCAGGGACCTCGGCTGTAGCGTTCTCCCCTTGTGGAAAGCAGGTCGCGTCAGTCAGCTTGGACAAGTCGTTGAGGCTCTGCGATATCAATACTGGCGCTTGTACGTTTATCTTGCCTGGACTCCCCAGAAAGGTTGACAGCCTTGCCTATTCGCCGAACGGGTCTAATCTTGCATTTTGCGGAGAGGATGGACGAATTCAACTATATGGCGTGCGAGCGAAGCCTTCTTTGCTGGCTGTGGGGAAAGGGAGAATGATGAGAGTTTTATGTTTGGCGTTCTCCCCAGATGGAAGACGGATCGTAACCGGTGGAAGCTTAGGCAAGGTGTATGTTTCTGATGCCGCTACATTAGAGCCAAGGTCCAGCTGGATGAGCCACATTGGAAACGTTACAGGAGTCTCCTTTTCGCCTGACGGTCAGCTGATCGTTTCATGCGGCGGAGACAGTTTAGTCAAGCTATGGGATTCCAATACTGGCGCACTTATCTCCGTCTTTACGGGCCATACGAAACCAGTGACCAGCGTCGAGTTTTCGCCAGATGGTTCTAACATCGCGTCCTCGAGCCATGACCATACTGTTCGGCTTTGGGAGGTAAACCCGATCGGTCTCAGTTCCCAATCCAGCGACTCTTCCGATCCGCGGACAGGTCTGGCCTACTCTCCCGACGGGCGGTTCCTCATTACTGGCAGCTTTGTTGGTGGGGTGCAGCAGTACAACTCGGAGACCGGCGACGTCGCCCTTGTGATTCCCGTTCGAACTAGAGGTTCCGAATGTGTCGCCTACTCTCCGGATGGTCTTCGATTCATCTCAGGTAGCCGAGGCGGCGATTTGACAGCGTGGGATACTCAGACTGGCAAGGCTGCATTCACGATGTGTGGTCACGCTAGAAGGGTGATTTGCGTGGCTTTCTCGCCGTGTGGTCAACAGATCGCTTCTGGAGGTTATGACAAGACGGTGCGGCTCTGGGATGCCCGCTCGGGACTACTGTTACGTGTGTTTTCGGATCACATCGGTGAGATTCTCAGCATTGCATTCTCCAGGGATGGTCTTAAGGTGGCGTCTGGTAGTTGGGGCGGAGATATCAGAGTCTGGGATGTAGAAAGCGGTGAAAGCACAGCGCGCTGGCCAAGTTCGTATTCTACGCCATGGTCCATCGCTTATTTACCAGGAGGATCTCAACTGGCTTTTGTTTGCAATGGAAGCATCAATATCAGGAACGGTTAAGACAGGACGTATCGAACGTTGTTGCGCATGGATTCCGCGATCAAGCACTTTGCGATTTCCTCCTGTGGCCAGTGGATCATTGTTGCATGCGACAACAAAGTTTACCCTTTGGTTCTTAAATCACCGGGAGGAAACGAACGGTCATATAGGGGATGTACTAATGTCATCGATGACTTCATTGCAGACATTACTGGTCTTGTCTGGAGACCCGACGCGCTGGAGTTTGCGACTTCCTGCAAAGATGGATCTGTTCGTGTTTGGAAGTTGGTCCAAGACGAAGAAACGGGCAGGGTAGCGGTCAAGATGATCTGGAGCGCTGGATGTATTGGGCTTACGGTTTCGGATGCCGATTTTGCCGGTGCCGTTGGTCTTAGCGCAATCAATCGCAAGCTGGTCGAGCAACGCGGCGCCATTGTCTAGACACCCCCTACAGCTCTAGTTGTGGATAAAATAAAATCACCAGAAAATAACTACAGACCATTCAAACACTTGTCTTTTCATTCTACTCACTCTCTACGAAATGCTTTGACGAGATACGACGAGTATTGATTAGAACAACAGAAAAATGCGACGGTCCATCTGATATGGAAAACGTTGTTCATGAAAATCTTCATTTTCCAACCTTCTTACTTGGCCCGAGCATTTATTCAAACCTCGCTCAACAAAGAGGCCGCCGCTTTCTCAACCCTCTCAATATTAACCTGCAACACCCCTCATCCTGGGCTTGTCCACGCCCACCGGAAAACCATCTCATCTCGCCCATATGCTCCCATGCCAACTCCATGTCACACATTCGTAGGGACAAGAGAAAAAAAAAGAAACAGACGATTTTTTTTTCCTTCTTGTAACGCCTCAATGCAGGTACCGATCGGACAAGACCCCAGGCAGGCTGACTGGTCGTGCGCTCCCAGTCGACGTTGAGATACGGAGTCTTGAGCTTGGGGAGCATGAGGGACCCTGCAGATTTCGTATTCCCAATTCGCCCCCCATTCATCCATCCATATGGGTGCCAATGGATACTTTGGAACTAGCCATTCCCTGTCCGAGGGCTCCTCCATGTCCTGAACCAAAAAATCGATTTTCGTCGCCAGATCCAGTCCTTCCAGCGAGTTTCTGCTCCTGTTCAGGATCTGCCGCGCAGGTGCAGCGGGAACAGAACTCACCCCAACAGGGGAGTCGACATACATCAAGATCCAGAGTTCCTGCAGGTTGACATACTCCTTGAACTTGAACATGGTCGGCTGTGGGAACACTAACGCCGCCGCCTCGTTCTGGAGGAGTTCAAGATATCGGATATGGTGACAGTTGTTGTTGAGGATATCACGAATCAGTCCACGGGGATCAGGAGAGAAGGCCACGGGCTTGTTGACGTGCGGGTCCTTGTAGGCGTGCGGGTCCTTGTAGAGACGGGGCTCGATGACGGCTTTGTTATATACGGCCCAAAGGTGTGGGGTGAGTACTGTATGAAAGGTGCGATTGACGAGCATGGCGGCGAGGAGGTTTTTCGGCTTGAAGACGTATTCCACAGGCTCGAGTCCATTGGTGGGACGGGATCATTTGCGTGGGGTGCAGATCTGAAGAACATCCCGACACGGAAGACAATCTTTGACGATGCAAGAGGATTCGTTGTTATATTTAATCAAAGAGGGGAGGAATGAATCTGTAAGGCAGTGTCAATGAGAAGGAGAAGAGGGAGAGCGACGTGAGAAGGAAAGAAGGAAGTAAGGAAACAAGAAGTGAACAGAGTTTGAGTTTGAATGTGCGTGCGGCGTGCGGAGTTATTGTTCTTGTCCACATTAGAAAGTCAGTCTGAGTACGCGCCATCAAAAGTGAAAGAAGAGTAAAAACAACACACGGGAATGGGCATTACTTGGAAAGAGCATATCTATTGGGAACGTGTCTCGTAGTGCTCGTTGTTCAGGACAACGCGCTTCATCAGTGGCATTCCTTGCACAGCCGCAAACACCATAAACCGAAGGTGAGGGTGAACGAACGCGCGCCCAGACCTGTCTAGCTGTGCCTTATCTTCATCCTTTGCCAAATACCGCCATGGCTTGGGCAGATACCCTCTCGACTCAAAGTGCGCCGCAGGGTCACCATCTGGGTTGTGGACATCATACCCATCCTCTGCACCATCGTCCGCCCCAAACTCATCCCCGCCCGCGTAGAAACCACGCATCTCCAGACTCTCCAGCCCCTTGCACGCCCATGGCACATGGTGGACTGCAAACAAATCCTTGACATCCTCCACTCTCCAGTTCTGAGATGAGGTGTAAAACGACACTCGCTTGAGCTTCTTGCATTGTCGAAGGATCGACGCCACATTCTCAAACGGCCTGTACTCGAATCCACAGAACCCCAGTTCCAACGTCTCGAGTCCGTTCCTGTGTTCCAGTAGCGCCATCATTACGTCGTCATCCAGTTCATCTTCATCCAGTCCCATTCTGAAGTCAACCAGGTTTCCAGGGGTCAAAGACTCAAAGATCGTGATGAGTGTGTCGTTGTCGAACGGGTGACTACCCTTTTCAGACCACCGATGGGGGATGTATTGGATGGATCTCAAGTTCGGGCAGAACCTGCGGAGTATCGGTCGCAGCTTCACAAAGTCAAGCATTACGTTTGGGTGGATAATAAGGGTCTCCAGTGCCGGGAACGCTCGCATCATGTCGTAGATGGGTTTGAGATCCGAGGATTTCCAGTCGATGTCCAGGTGAAATGTCTTGAGTTTTGGAAGCAAGAGGGGTCTCTTTGGGACCAGCCCGCGTGCCTCTATTATCTCCTCTTCGCTCGCTGTCGCTAGGAATGATTTTTGCAGGGTGGATGTTGTTGTGTCCACGGTCCGGTTCATTTCCAGAGTGTTGTTTTCTGCCAGGTACAGCTCTTCCAGACTGTCAGCGAGCATGTCCAGGATGTGGTAAAGATGCAGGATTTTGATTGACCATGCCTCCAGCCTGAGAGACCGTAATTTCTGTAGTCCGATAACGCACAGGAGGTTCTTGGAAAAGTCGAGCTCTTGGGCCTGGGATGATTCGCAGCGGTGGTGGCCCAGTTCGACTTCGTCGGGATAGGTCCAGTCCAGTAAAATCAAGTCGGGGTTGGCCTCGATCAGCTGGACAGCCCAGCCAAGGTCAACATATTTCGAGAGCTTGAGCTCCCGGAGTTGGGTGCAGTTCTTGAACTGGAACAGGTCTGGTTGCTGAAAGAGGTGGCAAGGCTCTGAACGGTGCAAGAGTTCGAGGTACCGAATGTACTGACAGCTGTTGTTTAGTGTGACAAGTCTCGATATACACTTTGGTAGGAAGCCCTTTGGGTGGAAGCAGCATTCGTTGTAGACGGTCCAGAGGAGGGGCTTGAGTGTGCGGCGGAAGAGGCGGTTGATGGCGATGGCAGCGAGAAGGTCATTAGGCTGAAAGTCGCATGTAGTTGTTTTGTAGATGGTGCTGTCAGATGGGACGGGGAACCAGATCTGGATATAGAGCCCGATGCGGAGAACAATCTCTGGAAGAGCGAGCGGGTTTGTGTCCATTGAGTCGAGTGGTTAGCTTGGAGTGTGGTGAAAGAAGGATGGAAGGATGAGAAGAGAAGAATGAGGTTGCGACTGGAACTGCCAGCAGAAGTGACGCGCATGTCAAGGCACGCCACTAAAATGGACAGTTAAGGGTCTCCCTCGTTTACCCACCACGAACAAAACAGATCCTCTTGTTCATGCATTCCATTCCATTCACAACCACAACTTACTTACCTACGCCCAGCATCGACTGACGGACACTATGGAAGAAGAACTTCAAGGACTACAACTGGATGGAAACACCATTCAGACTCAACAACATCAAGAACAAAGCTCGGAGGCGCCAGAAGGGACAGCAACAGCTCTCATCCCCTGGAAGTACTGCAACGTCTATGCCAACAACCGGAGCCCCGAGCGACTCTTTCTCTTCCAAGGCCAATCTAGTACGTATATCATTCCAAGGATGCATAAACACGCATATCAGGCTTGCGATAATGAATTGAAGAAATTAGGTCCATGATTTTTACTAACCATATTCTTGTAACGTCTCTTAGTCTTCATTCAACAACGCCTGGACGAGAAGGTCACCATTGATCAAAACACAGGCAATGTTGTTTGGGATGGAGTAAGTATACCACATCGATTTTTTTGATCCTTTATCACCGTCACTTTGTTTACTGCTTCGCGCCTTCAATCAGAAAAACAATATAAGAGGCCAATTAATTAACCCCATATGCTTCCCTTGTTTGCCTTCCAACCTAGGCATACCTGATGGCAAAGTTCCTCGAATCACACATCGGAAACCTGCAAGGAAAATCATGTCTAGAACTGGGCGCAGGAACAGGACTTGTCAGTATTGTCGCCTGGCTCCTGGGAGCCACACAGGTCTTGGCAACTGATCTTCCAGGCCCACATACGGAACATGTCCAGAAGAACACTGGAACCAATGCGAGGAGGATAGCTCAGGAGAGAGGACAGAAGATCGCGAAGCATGAGGAGGAGGAGGTTGTTGGTGGAGATGATGGAGGGGTGAGGGAGGATGTGAGGATCAAGCGGAGGCGGAATCGACAGGAACGGAACCGGATAATTGAACTTGATAGTGACAACCTGTCTGTCGCTCCACTTGACTGGTATGTAAATCAACAGCAGTCAATTGTACGCTAGAAAGGAGCAATGAAGAGCAGTCGCAAGTATTCCGCTCACTCGCTTTCGCTTCGTCTCCCACTTCAATCCAGGAACACACCGGTGCTACCAGAGTCGGTAAAGTTCAAAGGCCCCTTCTCCTACATCCTCTGCTCCGAGATCCTCTACCTACCCAAGTTTCACCGCGCGCTCCTCAAGACGCTGACCAAATTCGCCGACGACCAGACGGTTGTACTACTGCTCTGGAAGCAGCGCGGCCTGGGCGAGGAGCGGTTTTTTGACATCGCGTGTAGGCTCTCCACCGGGTGGAAGATTCAATATGTAAGCACCTGTGGAATGCTCTTTTGTTGTTGTCATTGGTCGAGGCGAGATGTTTAGGTGTGATTCTTAATCTGACTTTCATACCCCTTTTTTGTGTCTAGTTGGAGAGGACGGTACTGGACGCCGAGTTCCAGGACCAGCCCTATGGAGTCGCACAGATGACACGTATTCCAACAACCTCCGCTCCATCCTCCACTAGTCATCATAGCTTCGCATAGAGAAAGACTTTACCAACAGTATTAAAAAAAACAGCTTCAATTACAGCAACATTTGACACAATTATCAGCACGGGGGCCGTCAGGGATGACAAAGAGGGTGAGGAGGGATGCAACGTTGATGGCTGCACCGCTAATGTCCTTGTGGTGGCGGCAGAGCCCAGTCCGGCACCCATTTTGATCTACTTTGACCCATTTTTTTAAGATTTGCAAAACATCGAGACAGGCGACATTTATATAAATGATTGATTTTTGACATTTTTCTCTCTCTCTCTGCTCCAAATGGGGAAGAAAAGCTGGTGGAATGGCGAAGTGAGAAGTAGAGGGTGTGCAGGGATGAGAGAGAAGCAAAGGGAATGAGAAGTGAAATGGGGATGGCCATTGACACACAAAATGGACCCATGATACTCAGCATTTTCAGGCACAATGAAACCCCATCTTCAACAAAAGAAGCTTTACGTTGTACAAAGAGCAGATCTTCCGTCCTGGCACAACCACACGCCTCTGCACTGATGTTAATTTGGATTCCCGGCCCAGCATTGTATCTGTGCCTCTTAGAAGACATATGGCTTGGGACAAACAACAAACGGTGACTGTAGTTCATGCATCTATTCGCCATTATTTCACCATGCCTTTCAAGACCCGCTCTCTCTTTTCGTCTCCTGCTGTCAATAACCTTGTTATTGCCATTGATACTCTGAAAGGTGCGCAACACATAATAATGACTACCATGCCAGATGCTTTCTTCGACTCATGTCCCGTCTTTGCTGCCACTCTTCTGCTTTCTGCTACTGTCATTTCATTTGCCTGCGCTTTCTACCTGTCTTTATTAATATCGAATCGTCTCAAACCAGTGTCTCGCACATAACCCACGTGCTCATGTTTGACGCGTCTCGGTTTATTGGACAGTGCTTATCTGATAATTCTTTAAGGCACCAATTCGGCCTTCGCCAGCGAGGCCTTGGAGACGTCCAAAAATGCTAGGTTCTCACCGTCGCTCTTGACCCTTCTCTTCCCTTTCTCGTCGACCTTCACTCACTATCCGCTCCAGCATTACCTCCTTGGACCCTCAAGAAACAGTTTTGGCTGAAGACGACGACACTCCAGAACAGGACAGACGCCACTCTGTCATCACAAACGTCGCTCACAACTTACAAACCGTCGCCTCGGAACTCTCAGCAGCACAACTTCACTACCTCCAGTTTCATCCTTACTCTCAACCACTCGCAACAGCAAGACGCAGCTCATCCTGGCCCTTTGCACCAACAACAACAACAACAACAACAACAACTGGCCACGACCATAGCCTCAACATCCCATCCACCCTTACTTTTCGCTCCCCACCAACGCTCCATCCGATACCTCTACACATCCCGATACACAAACTCCTCCCGCACGCGCCTGAAGTCCGACGACTGGTTCCTCCTCTACCGCGCCGCAATCTGCATGGAGGACCTCCCACTGCAAGCCCGTGCACTCGATAAGATCCAAGCCCAACTCAACTTCCAATGTCCTCTTGAACGTGCTATGTTGTTCAACTCATCTTTTCCTGCTTGCAGGGCGATGCCTCAGACAAGTTCCGATTTGTTCGAGACAAATAGTAGAAATAATAGAACATTTGTTAGAGGCGAATAAAACCAACAGAATTTGACTATGACACACATTCTCGCCCATTCATCGCCACCTATCCCCTCACCACAACACCATGCTCCCGTACCTTCTTGGCCACTCATTTTTTTAATTGTAGGTGTCGTATATGTCGATGATCCTGGTGACAACGAGAGGTGAAAGGCGATATGGTGGGGGAGAGAAAAAGAGAACAAGTGCCAAGTGTCTTTGCCCCTCGACAGCCAACGCAAGGAAGTCTGAACACGTGGATTCGCCTTCTCGATAAGCGTAGGTTGTTGCTCTCCGCGGCTCCTAGGCCAGGATAGCCTAGGAACTGTTTCTCAACAAACGTTCCAAGGCCAGGTAGTCAAGGGTGGTCATCGACAAAGTCGATTCCCGGGCGACAAATGACAGTATCATTCTCTTCACCCGCTAGCACAATTCTATCACCATGCCTTTAGGCCCACTCTTGTCTGCCACTCCTGAAATGTCGATCCTGAATAGTTCATCCTGGCTGGTGAGGGGGAAGAAGGCAGAGGGAGGAGGAGGGGGGGATGAAGGAAGAGAGAAGGGGGGGTCTACCCATTTTATACAAAAAAGTCAGAAGCACGTGGGAAAACATCCGCAGCACATACCTATTAAACCGGAACGCCTGTATGTACAGTACACACGTGTAATAATAGCACCCACACATGATCACACGACGGTCTTTTGATGCATATGTGCTGCGGACTTTTTTAAATAAAAATATAATGGGCAGATTCCCTTTCTCTCTTCCTTTCTTCACCCCTTTCCCTTTCCCCTCCTCCCCTCCCCTTCTCAAAAGACATGGTGATAGCATTGCGCTAGCGGGTGAAGAAAATGATGCTGTCACTTATCGACTGGGCATTGACATTGTCGATGACCACACCTACGACTACACGACCTTGGAACGTCTGTTGTGAACAGCTCTTAGGCCCTCCTGGCCTAGGAGCCGCGCACCATCCCTACGCTCCCCGAGTCAGCGAAAACGCGTGTTCAGACTTCCTCGCGTTGGCTGTCGAGGGGCAAAGACACTTGACACTTGTTCTCTTCTTCTCTCCCCCACCATATCGCCTTCCACTTCTTCATATTCTCCTCTCTCTCTCCACAACCATCAGCACTCGACAACACCCACCCATCCCCTCTCCTTCTCAGTACAATCCGACAACTATCATTAACCCACTACCATCGACAACCAACGAGGAAACAGCACCAGAAAGACTGGACAAACTGGACACACAGGATAAACAGGACACACAGGACACACAGGACACACAGGACACACAGGACACACAGGATAAGCAGGACAAACAGGATAAACCAAAAAAAAACCCCCTTCGGTCCCACGCACAGACCACGTGTGCTCTTGTTGTGGGGCCGCGAGAAAAAGAGGACCCGACCTCTGTCGGTGCTCTTCGTTTCAAACTTAGGAAGGAACGATACTTTCGGCCGAATATAGCGTGAGTACAGTTCTGAGCCTCGGTTTGTTTTTCTAATCCCTTCAAGTCGACTCCGTTTGGAGAAGCTTTGGGGGGAGCTGTTTTTGTTTGGGGCACCAAATTGAACCCGCGACCTCCTCGTGGTGTGCCCTGGACGGTGTCTCTCTCTTTTCTTGCTTCGGATGAGGAATGAGAAGGAGAAAGGAGAGGGTCACTGACTAGCGGCGGGTCTACTTACATAGCGATTAGCATAGTCTGATATGTAGTCTGAAGAATAAAACACAGGTACAAGACACAATGCTTAGACGCGGTGAACAAGTGAATGACGGCCATGGAGGACATGGATTCGAGTGAATTAGGAATGAGCAATTCAGTTGGTCGAGCGAAACAGGCTTGTCATCTCGCAGTGAGTCGCAGTACCATGTCGTTCGTCTCTCCTGTGTGTTTCTGCTAACAGGCCGTTGTCTCCTTGTCTCCTTACTCCATCCTTGTTCGTTTTGAACGTTTTACGTTATGGCTTCCATTGGCACCTTGTAAGGTGATTCGTGACCGGTTTTCTCATTGCCTTTCTCCACCCTCAATGCACTTTTGCTGCCACGAAAACTAAGGCGGCCAGACTCTCAAAATGAAAAGACGAAATGTAAATAGGGACCGCTCTGTACGATCCCCAGAATGCATCTTTCAAGAATTGGCACCGTCCGCCCACCTCCATGCGTTTATTGACGTATCTTTCAAGGAATTCAAGAAGAAATGGTAAAAGAGGGTATGCGGTATACTAATACTTGAGAGGCGCGAGACCCACGCGAGGGTTCAAAGGCGAATGGTCAAAGACACAATAATTGTTCTTGATAAATACATCACCCAGAATCCACAACCCTTCCTGTCCACCTTGCACTCCCGACAGACAAGTCTTCCCCTTTTCACCATCAACCGCCTCGAATGCCAGATCTGCAAGTGGGACCTTGAGATACTTCCCGTTCAGTTTGAAGCCAATAACGGAGGATGAAGGGGTGTTGCGCAAGGCGCATGGGACAAGGTAGCCGAGTTTTTGGTCGAGAGTGGCACCGGGGATAGAGGAATGAATTAGTTTCGCGGCGGATGTGGAGACGATGATTAAGGTCGTGCCGGTGTCGAGGATTGCTTCCTGTTTAGGGGTGACATGTTCGACCCATGCAGGTTTGTTCCTGGTATGGGCGGCGCTGCTGGCTTCTTTGGAAGGGAGAGTGGGGGTCTTGAAGGCATCGAGCTTGACCTGCCAGAACCCTTTCTGAGTAACGGGGACGTAGTGGAGCTGACCAGTGTACTGTGAATGATCAATCCCGCCGAAGAGAACGTGACCATTGCGGCCGCCGTTCTTGCGGAGCGAAGGTAAAAAGACCGACACGACTGGTTGCTTCAACACACCGCCTTTGGTCTTGTTCTTCGCAGAGGTGGCTATGGCGTTGTCCATGAATGTGCTGACACCCTTGACGCTCAACAGAGTATTGAACCCTAACCCAAAGATCCCATCCTCCGGCGAGTCCTTGAACTTGTCCGACACATTCTTTGCTAGTCCCACCGTCTGCCTAACCTGCACACCACCGGCGTTGACAATCTCGGACGCGAGATAGCCGTTGGCGAAAGATCCGTCTCCGTACTCAATTTTCCAGGGTCGGTTATCTTTTTTGTAGGTTGAGGATTTGGACGAGTTGAAGCGGGTGTGGACTTTGCATGCGTGTGTTGAGCAAGAGGTGGAGGAGAACCAGATGTCAGAGGACCCTGTGTCGAAGATGAGGTTGAGTGTTTGGGCTGGAGTTCCCACTTTTACCGCACCGTAGTACTATTCGCACGAACAATATAATGCAGAGAGAGAGAGAGAGTGACAAAAAAAAATGCCGAACGATTAATTTTTCGTATCTCTGAGTGCAGATATAAAATACACATTTATTCTCATAA